AGCGATTGTAAATCGCCAAGGAGGAAACCCCCCTTTCGTGCACCTGTATCAAAGGAGCTCAATATTCCCTGCGTATTTCTGTTTGAGTTTACATCAGAGCTGTTCTTGACTGGCGGCTCTTGGGAGCTTTTGTTCGAGTCGTCAATGCGAATGTCTGTCCATACTGACTCTGAGTAGGCTCTCTCGAAACTTGACCCAGCCGTCTGCAACATGGGGGAACCCAAGGATGCTATTGGGCTGGGCGTTCTCAGGCGAACTTTGGATGATTGTCTATCGTCTTCCGCCGGCTTGGTTGTACGGACCGAGATTGTTTGACATGGAATTGATTCTTGCGGCGACTCTGGAGATAAGATATGATTCTCAGGCTGACTCGAAGGTACGTTCCAAAAAGGTGCTGCAATAAAGGACATCTCACTTGCTCCGTCATTGTCAGAACTTTGATCATCATCTGCTTTGCTCTGGTCCTCTTGAGGCCTTGTCGCTGCATCGGTATCGTTAATAAGAAACACGACTTTCTTCCATCGCTTTCGTGGGGGAGTTCTGATAGAGTCTGGACCAACCTGAGAAAGGCCTGCTGTCTCATCCTTCTCAACCACGAAGTACACTCTGTATCGACTTGTCGGGCTTTCAAGAAAGAAGAGGAAGAATTTAGCCAGAGCAAATCGGAATTGCGTCGCCGATACGATACGGTAGGCTGGCAACTTGGGACTTAGGATGAGCCACATTCTGAAGTTGTCGTCTTCGCCAAGCTGAAGCTTTTTTTGCAGGTCCCGGACGAACTTTGCGGCCAGGAAATTGTTTGGCGAGAATGGGGCACTCGTTTCATTGGTGGCGAGTGCCTGCTCACCACCTGTGAAGTACTTACAAAGACTACCCAGGCAGTGATCGGGACCGTCTACATCGTTGGAAACTATTGCCGTGAACCTTACGTACCCCAAATGGTGAATTGTTGGGTTGTTTAGTACATCATAAGGCCACCATAGCGGAGTCATAAGCTCAATGTCCCTCTCGGATACGTTGGGACCGAGGCTCATATCGCTGCAAAGCACTTGCCGGGGCAAAAGCTCGTCAACGTCGCTCGACATTGAAGCAGACATGGTGAATGAAATCACAGTCGGGAGTCTGCTATGGAGACAGTTGTATCGCCACCGCACGATGTCTAGATCCGAATCCAAGGCGTAATGACCTCTTCTTCGAAAAAAACAGGAAAACGCGGTTTTTTTTTTTGTTTCAGAGGTAAAGGTGACGTGAAGATATCTACCTATTTATATCAGTGTCGTGAACAAAGTCTTTGTCTATCTATTACTGTAGCGCACATGACTTTATTACCTATCATTGAAGGAAGAACAACAATTTCTTTGTGAACGGATAAAGAGCAAGTCCCGATTGTCGACCCTAGAGCGAGATCCTGATGGTCCGTGCGCCGTTGAAACTCCTAGTAGTATGCAAGGGGCTATCGGCGTACTTTGCCCACTTACTACCAACTACTTCCCAAATAGGAACTGGTGAGGGTATCTCCGCTCGCATCTTGGCCCAAACAACACTTGTGCTTTCTTGAAGTTCCAGAAGAGCTCATACCCGAGGCGCTGAGTAGATAAAATACAGCCTCAGCATAGTTGCGTTAGAATCAAACAGACCAAGTGGCGTTGCTACACACGTATACAGAATCTTCGGGGCTCTTGAAAGCGCTTTTGATCTGCCCTTTTTGGGGGGTATATATTTCTAGAATATGAGAGACAATGCACTTGCCTAACGGGTTCGGGTGTTTCGTCGGTAATTTTCCAAAAGTCAAGCAGAGTTGATGAGATTGTTTACCTAATTATGAGCCTCGTGGAACTCATGCACCGTTGGTCATGGAGAATGACGGCATGCGAGTGATTATATGTACTCCTCTACCAGAGGAATCAATGTTGATTGGGCAAGGGTAAAAATACTGAATAATAAGAGTCATACCTGCTGAAGTCTCGAACATTCGTGTATGTATTGTAGCCCACGTCTTTCCACAACGGTTAGTAAAACGTCGCTGCGGAGTTGGTGAGATCTCAGCTAAATCTACACTTATCACCTTGGTGAAGGAGTTCTCCTTGGGCAGGCTAAAGTGCTAACCTTTGTCTGTGGCGACGAGCCGGACGTTTCGCTGCTGTACAGTCACTGATGGTTCATTTATTCATAGATTCCGTGTACCATTTCGGTCTATTGTACTAAAGCATCGAAGATCGCCTTCGATCCGACTACCATGACCTCGGAGTCAGCTCAGAGTGAATATTGAGCTGAGGGAGCAGGGTCTTATACCTAACAGCTGTCAGGTGACTTATTTGCAATTACTTACTTCACTTGCACTCGATTCACTTAGCTACTACCGCTTACAAGATACAAGAATGGCTACCCTTTCATTCTGAGTGCTTTCTTTACGCCCGGGTGGCATCTTTTGTGTGTGTGCTATGTGATATCTTTAATGAGTATAGGTCAGCATTAGACACTGCTGCCTTGTTTCAGTATGCACCATGGTAAATCGCCTTGATTGTCATGTGTCAACCTGTACTTGATTCGGTGCGTCCCCTGTAAAATTATAAGGGCTAAAGAGTAATTCTCTAATTTCTGTCACAAGTTTGATGATCTTGTATCTCCTGAAGCCCCTTTCTTGAAGTCTAAGTTGTATACATGTAACGTACTTGACAACACTGAAAGAATAAAATCTCAATAGCCTCTAAATTTCCGTTTCAATTCCTATTCTAGCATCTATATCAGTAGAACGTCTAGTTTCTTTGACTTATAATCAAAGTGATGAGGTGAAAGCTTACTATATAGATTATTAATCTAGATTAGGGGTATCACACCCATTCAAGGCCCATATTTCAACGTTTCGCGCACTCCAATTCCTGCATCGGGGTGCGACGAGTGACCGAGATTCCGATAAGGAGTGTCAATGGGTTGATTGAATTGCTCCGCTGAAGCGCCCACCTCAGTATGGCTTTTGGAAGATCCCGGCTTGTTTGTCTGTTTTAGAGCGGCGCCAGTACTCATTTCCTTTCTACCTCCTCCTCCTACACGTAGCACGCATGCAAGGTTGCTTAAACAGGCCCTAGATAGACTACAGTAGAAGGAAGCGATAAGACTGTCCGTGCGATCTAAAAATAAATTGGCAGCGTGCCATCTCCGGAAATCCTCAGGGGTATGCGAAAGAATGCAACGGCGCTGAGCCAAGAAAGGGTTAAGCTTCGAGGCTCTTCGCACAAGACTATCGATGCCAGCATGCACCGAATAAACACATTTTCACCGAGCTTCCTCTTATGGCTTGGCATCGCGCGATGTTAGGTGGTGAAAAGAGTAATAGCCCTAGAACCGCCCTGGTAGATAAGACCGGCCAGAGCAGTTCATGCGCATCGTTTCGGTCGTCGGCAGTGTCAATCGAACAGCGGCCCACAGGAAGACCAGGTATGTATCGCATCGGGGGTACTTAAAATGAGCGCACTGTTGGGCAATGGCATGGTGTCGGCTTATGTCACGTTTTGACCATTTGCGGAGCTCCTTATTTCTATGTATTAGAATTACCAGAGCTATTCTGGTATTATAATACATGCCATAAGCTCTTGATTTGTCCATTACCAATATTCATTGGCAAGAAAGTCGCCAGATTTGACGAGAAACTGCGTAGGTGGGCATGCGGCACAAACTAGGCCAGGATCAATCGGCTATAGCCACAAGATGAATCGAACGGGTCGGTGTAGCATTTCCGGCTTTCAAATCTAGTCACATGGAAGAGCAAACCTGCGATCGGAACAGAATCGGAACAGTCGTATCAATCACCCGAAGCTTCCTATCACCAATTCTCTAGACCGGTATCCATTCCATATTTGACATAATGAGGCCGCGTCGTGCGCAAGAATCGTTGTACATCTGCCAAGACTCTTGATAACGAATGGGGCAGGTGCATTGAAGGAATCTCGATAACACTGAGTCCACTGTAAGGCTACATGCAGCGATGATTCTGAGATACTTATGCCCCGGGTGCTGCTATCGTGGTATCTCACACCGATCCTCTCACTCTAGTGTATCATGGGGACTATCCCTATAAGACGCTAACCAACTTTTGTCATGAGCTTCTGCTTGAAGTAAGTCTTTCTTTAGTAGCATCGGTAATAATCAGTAACTTTGGGGTCGGCCATTGCTGCAAGATGATATTATAAAACCCCCATTCATGCTATTGAATAAGTGAGGTATCAAGACGCGAGTCTGTAGCCTGAATAAAAAATGCGTTTCGACAAGATATTTGTTGTGCTATCAAGCGTCAGCAGTGTAGCTGCTCTTCGTATTCGAGATACTCTACTAACTAGCAATGATAATAGTACTGTGCCAGAGCCAAAGAGATACATCATCGAGTTCACACCAGTAAGACAGTATCGGTTGGGGTCTGTAGCTGAGAAAGACATCTAATAAAATGTGCAGGGAACAGACCATGCTGACCTCAAAAATCAAATTGCGTCGAGAAAGGGCACTACTATCCTGAAGACGTTCGAGTCTGATGTTTTCACCGGTATCAGCGTCGCGTCGACCGGTGATAATGTTGATTCACTACAAGCTATTAGTTCAGTCGCTCAAGTTTGGCCATCTAAGAAAATCAAGCTTGATGCAGTCGTTCCAACGCAGTACTTCAATTACAGTGCTGCTGCGGCTGCCACACCTTACTCTACACACAGCCAAACAAGCGTATCGAAGTTGCATGAAGCTGGGATATTTGGCAAAGGGGCCGTGGTGGCAATTGTTGATACCGGTATTCAGTATACACATCCAGCCGTGAGTTCATTTGGTCACATATTTTCAAAGTATTAGCTGACATTTTAGTAGCTTGGTGGTGGCCTCGGTCCTGGCTATAAAATTGCAGGGGGTTTTGATTTTGTAGGAGATGGCTGTAAGCATCTCAATTCAGGGCATTTTGGGTCGTTCTAACAAGAATAGGTTGGCCATATGTGGGCTGCGACAAGGTTCCGGACGATGACCCGATGGATCAGATCGGTCACGGTACTCACGTCGCTGGTATTGTGGCCGGAAAGTCCGAATTGTATGCTAGCACGAACTACCTCTGAATGAAGTGTGTTGACTTGCAAATACCAGGTTTGTTGGAGTAGCTCCGGAAGCCACATTGCTCTCATATAAGGTCTTCACTGACTATGTAAGTTACCACTGAGGCTTGCTCCTGATGGCTTTTTAGCTGATTTCACTGGAAAGGACGGAACTGACGACGAAACACTCATTGACGCTTTCCTAGCGGCTTATGATGCGGGTGTAAGTTCAATTCACGGCATTGAGATTATCCACATTAGCACATTGAAAACTGATAGGTGATAGGCCGATATCATTACTTGTAGCGTTGCTGGGCCAGGGGGCTTCGGAGATGATGCTTGGTCTGTAGTAGCATCGCGTCTTGTAGACTCAGGGCTCGTAATAACCATTGCCAATGGCAATTATGGCACTGAAGGTCCATTTTTTGCTTCCATCGGCTCTTCTGGACGACATGTTCTCGGCGTAGCCTCTGTTGAGGCAACCGTCGTTGCCGAGACAGCGTTCTTGGCAACATTCAACCTGAATGGACATTCCAATACTACGGCGATAGGATATTTCGACGCATACAATCCAATCCCCTGGACTGTAAATCAGTGGCCAGTAGTGCCACTAACGCTCAACACCTCGGTCGAGAACGATGCATGCGAGCCCTTACCAGCGGGTAAATACAACTTTACTAATAAGGTCGTATTAGCAAGACTCGGGGGTTGTGAAGGGAGAACTAAACAGTTGAACATTCAAAATGCTGGGGGACACTATACTCTCTTCTATTTTGACGATTTGTCTACCGACATGCCGTCGGTTTCGAGAATTGGTGGGTTTGTTGGTATGGTGGAGGCAAGAACTGGCAAAGCCATGGTTGAAACCATTGCGGCTGGTGGAAGCGTCATTACCGACTTCGCAACATTAAGTGGTGAGACTTATTTCGTCGGGATGCCAAATTACCCGAATTACGGCGGTGGATTCGCCAATTACTTTACGAGCTGGGGCGGCCTCTACGATTTAAGTATCAAGCCTGATATTGCTGCACCTGGAGGTGACATCCTAAGCACTTGGCCCACGGATTCGTGGGCAGTTGCAAGTGGTACATCCATGGCTACTCCTTATGTAGCTGGTGTTGCGGCTCTCTATATTGGTCAATACGGCGGCAGGAAGACGAACCCAAATTTCAACTCCACGGAACTCATCATGAAAATAATTTCCAGTGGGGATTCTATTGCATTCAACGATGGTCAGACCATGACCGATTACGGATTGTATGCCCCAGTTCCGCAGGTCGGCACTGGCATGATCAATGGCTTCAAAGTGCTGAATTACACCACCTTACTGTCATATACGAAATTTGAGCTCAACGATACGCATCACTTCAGCCGTTATCATTCTGTGCAGATTACCAACAAGAATCCTTCCGCTACGGTTACTTACGATTTTGCAATGGAAGATGCAGCGGGCTTCGAAGTCTGGTCTGCTGAAAGTACACGACCAAAGGATCTCTTTGAGATTAAGCCCATCAAGATCGTCCCAACAGTAACCCTGCCCAAGACAGTGACTCTGGTACCTGGGCAAAGTAAGACAGTTCAGTAAGTTAACGGACCACCTGCTCTATGCGTAAGCTAAACGACTCTAGGTTCAACTTCATGTATCCTGAGGGCTTGGACAACATTCCTTTATATAGTGGGAAAATCCTTATTTCATCAAGCCTGGGTGAGGAGCTTTCAATACCATATATGGGTCTCGCTTCAAACCTTGAGCAAGACATGAAGAGTCAATTTCAGGATGGCTATCCATACATTGTGTCGGGCCTTGACAACGTTGCGATTGATCAGAAGTCTTCGTAAGTGCTAAGAAGTGACAATGTAAAATAAGCTGACGAAGACTAACGTTTGTCGAAGTTTCTCTTTTGATCTTTCAGTGGATGCTCAAGACTTTCCAAAGATCTACTCTAGGCAACAATGGGGTTCGAAGGAGCTCCGGTGGGACGTAAGTGTCCTTGCTTACGAAAGCTTGATTCTCATACGATAAAGCGAGGTTGACAAGATTTGCAGATATTTGAAGCCGGCTGGACAGAGCGCAATTGGGTCTATCCTCCGGTCGTGGGAGAGAATGGTTATGTGGGCACGGCGACATACTGGCAATTCTCTGGTGAGGTCCCAGTATACGACGCATCTTTATATCCCAACACCACAGTCACGTTCCCAATGCTAGACGTACCACGATGCTCGGTCGATGTGGCTTCTTTGGAGTATTGGTGGTTTGGTCGCCTTGCAAATGGATCTCAAATCGAACCAGGGCAATATATGTAAGTCTCAACTGTTTGCACCACCGGTTGCCTCGGCTTCAGTGCAGCGATGATCGCCAACGAGACTGACGTGTCACAACTACGTAGTATGCGCTTTGCGTCCTCTATCCCGTTTGGTGATTTAACCCATTCGGATAATTGGGACACTTACACCAAGGCCTTTAGCGTGCTGTCAATGTAAGGCACAGCCACCAGGACTCTGCAGTCCCGAGTCAGCCTTGCAATATATAGTCAACCTTGCTGTGACTGAAATCCGACTCTAATAATGATGCGGCGATAAACGGCAAGATTGAATGCAGAAGTTTGGGTAATAACGTCTCTAGGATTATGGCTCTGCTTTATGATTGGATCTGGGGCTCGAAGATTGGACAATGATGATCACCCAAAGGTGAAAGTTATATCGGGATTATAAGTAAGAAAACTAAGATTAAACATCTTCACACCTTAACGGAAGCATTATGCTACTATGTTAAGGCCTGCAAGGGTTCCTTAGGATTCATGTTAGCTAAGTCAAGTTTGGGGCAACAAGAAAGCCACCAACCGCCGAAGGCGCTCAACTCTTGGTTGGTTTTCTCCAAGCTGATCAAGAACTTATATATACACATGCTATCAAAAAGGGGCTTTAGCCGCCGTGGCTACAGGTGACTAAACCAATCCCGGATTGCACTGCAACCCCACATGCAGTGCAAGGCCCTAGGCGTTTTCAGCTATGATTCAATCAGTCCACTGGGCGGGGAGACCTTTTAATCAATTCATCCTCCCTCGCCGGACATTTATCTAGGGCGATACACATGGGCCAGTTTTTGACGCCTCTGTCGTACGGCGCCTCCTGGGTTCACTCTTACACTCCCAGACAGACGCCATAGTCGCGGAGAGCCTTGGAAACTACCACTCGTCCACTGACCAGGACCCGGCCCCCACCAATCGCATGGCCCTGCCAAGACGCAAGCTCCTTGCTCTGAGGATAGGTAGACGGCCATAGTCATGTCACAAAACGCTCGATACGCTCGCGTTGCACATACGAAGTCTCGTAATGGCTGTAAGCAGTGTAAGAAAAGACGGGTCAAGGTATTATGAGTTAAGCTTTTTTCACAACTGTTCTACTCTGACATTAGAGCTAGTGCGATCTTCGCACACCTGAATGTTCCAATTGTCATAGACGGCGCGAGGTCTGTGATTACAACAGGGACAAGCCAGGCGAGACGGGATCTGTGCCGGCAATGATACCGTCTTCCAGTGTTGCAGGGCTTCGAGCGCCGCTGCGGCCTCTGTGTGGAGAATGGGACTCGAGCGAATTTCTCACGGCCATGCCCGCCATGGATCACTCGCTCTCCGAGCAGGAAAGACGGGTGTGGAATGTCCAGGCCGTTCAGCATCTGGGGGGTCAAGCATACCTCCAGCATAATGTCCTCGCACTCAATGCGCTTCAACGCTATCTGGTCGGCGCTGAGGATGCTGCGGCGTGCTATGCTGCAGCATGTTCTCATCATCTAGAGGCTTCGAGGATCTTCCGGCAGACGACATCCACAATCAATGACAAGAACTGGCTAGGGGCATACATCCTGTGTACGTCGGTGATCATGTTTCATTTCGCCGTGTCCCAGGTCGCAGCACACCCGCATACCTTTGAGCCCGTGGAGCCACACGATTTCCTGGAGACTTTTTTTGTCCTTCGCCAATCATCATTGCTTGGAGCTCAGCTACGGTACTTTTTCCAGGGTCCATTGCAGGGCATGATCAAGCAAAGGCTCGACAAATTCGAGGTTAAGCCAAATGTCACGGTGGATCAAGCCGTTTCTGACCTTTGCTCGGCAGTAGATGAGTTGAAGGATATAGATGGCACAAAGAGCACACTTATGACAACGGCGACAGCCCTTCAGGGCTGGGTACATACCACTAATGGGATGCCTCGCAGCTGGGTTCATATCATCTGGTGGCCTGCAGCCGTAGGCCAAGACTATATCAACCTTCTAGAGCAACATCACCCATTTGCCGTGGTCATTTTTATTTATTGGTGCACAATCCTGAGTCGAGCTCCTAGTCGGTGGTATATGGAAGGCTGGGCCGCCCGGACTGTTTTGGCAGCCTTGAAATGCCTGCCTTCAGAGCTAGATGCATTAGTCCAGTGGCCCCGCGAGATTTTGGAGCTTGACAAGGCCGACCAACCTCTTGCTTTGAGGCGATTAACCAGTAGTCCTGATGTCAAGATCAAGGCAGAGGTCTTGGATGAGGTACAGAAGTATTTCGCCCTGAGGTCTGCATCGACAGAAGCTCTAGACAAGGCATCGAAGGAGTGGAGGAAGCACACCGAATTCTAGCACACCTCACCTCTGCAATGGGAGAGCCTGAGCGGCTCTTGACATGATATAATATGCATCGGCCTTATGGAGTTTGTGACTGGTTAGCCGGCGGTACTCTGACTTATACCTTTATCACAAGCGCTAACATGAGCTTTACTTCGCTAAGTGCAAATGGAGACTGTGCTCGTGATGAAGTGATTAGTACTTGACATTCTAATCTGGCCACTGACAAATAATTCCGTTCACAACTCTTCTCCTTGAAAGCTGTTCGTGCTAATAAAATGCTTACGATCTTGAAGATTTATAGTCCTGATGTCCAATTGTCGGCCTGTCGAAGTGACCATTACTCAGCGACCCGTGAGGTGGCCAGGTCTTGTTAACACTTCACTTGATACTATAGATGGGACGTTGGATCGAGTAGGAAGACATTGACGAGTTAGAGCTGTCACAATGAACAGAGGTCAAGTCCAAGAATCATGCCATTGTTGAAGAAATGATGTCATTTGATCACTACATTCAATTCAATGAGCACGAGGTTCAACGTCTTCTCAAACCTGCAAACGGAAGCAGCTCTGATCAATTCAAGCTTTGCTGACATAAGTAACACTAGGCAGCTCCATTCTGTAGGTGATAGGCAGGCGGTTGCGTTAGCGTCCCAGCTGCTTCCGTCATTCCTGTTTACTGTAGGTACAGTATTACAGAGGGGCAGCTCACTTTCCCCAGCCTTCTTTTGCGGTCCATCACAGACAGTCAGCGCTGAGCTCCACTTACATACTCCTTGGCCCATTTGGGTCCAGCCAGTCATTCTGCCGCCTGCATCAACATCCATCATCAACATCGCCATCGCCATCGCCGCCGTCTGCAGGCTTCGGTGTCTTTCTGCTTCATCGCATGCATATGCTCGGTTCTTATTGAACTGTTTTCTTTCTTTCGTTCCTCTTCTTTTTCTTCCTTCTCGTCCTTGTTAGCATCTTATATCATTTACCGGACAGAGAGCCTCTTGTGTGGGCAATCGATTGACTGATTGTTGTTTTTATCGGCCTGCGCCACTTTTTCCGCAACCGGGAGCCCATCGTATCGCGACCTTGAGACCAGGGGCCGTCTCACATTACTCACGCGAACAACCACCGCTGCAATCCTTCTGACCAGCCCTTGGTAGATCAAGGAGTTTTGTTCTTCTTACACCTGCGAGATACCCTTCTAAAACCGAATCATCCGGTGGGCTGCGTACACACATACGAAAACACCTACATACCGGAAGACCCAAGCCCACCAACCGCCAACATGCGGCGAGCTTCATTAGATCTCACGGAGCCTTCGCGCAACCTAGAGGAGTCTATAGGTGCGCCGACGCCTGGCACTCCGGACGCCGATGTCGACATATCACTACCAACCCCCGAGGAAGCCATAGAAGCCGTTGAAGGCGCCGATGATCAAACCCCGCGAATCTACACGCCCCCGCCACACATCGCCGCACGCTTCTACCGACCAACGCAGAACCGACGCAAGGGCTCAGCAGCCTCATCGCGACGGAACTCTATATCCTCTACCCATTCACGAGCCTCACTGGGCTGTGCACCAGACGATGACAGTCCCCAGAGCAAGCATGTCGCCCAACACCTGCGCCGCGCGTCCATCCTCGAGGATCGCCAGAAACGACTCGCCGACCGTGCTGCGCACGCCGAGAAGGTCCGCCTACGAGCGGCATTAGCGAAGGCAGCCACCCGCGATATATCCGCTTCGGAAGAGAGGGCTCTCGCTGCCCAACAGGCGCGCGAGAGAAATCTCGCCGAGATTGCTGCAGCATGCGCGGAAGAGGTGAAGAGGGCCAAAGCAGTGGCGGAAAGCATGAAGGAGAAGCGGGAACAAGAAATCAAGAAGATGCGGCTACAGATGGAAGAGCGTCTGGCAGAAGCCGAGAAGAGACGTGAGGAGCTCCGGAACAAGAGCACCACACGAACTCGCGGCAGAGGCCAGAGCATCATTACAAGTCGGAAGGCTGTCGAAGTGATGCCGGAGGTGAAGGAGGTCAAGGAGCGGGACTCTTCGCCTATGCGAGACGACGTTGCGATCACGAAGATCCAGTGGTGGTGGAGGGCTGCTCTGCGAAAGAGGGCTGTTTCAGAGTTTCTCCAACTGGGTTTGACTATCGATGGCGTGAGAGACACGTCATTCGAGAAGGTCGTTGAATTGCTTGGCCAGGAGAAAGTACTCCTGATCACGGCGCGAGTGCTACGGATCTGTGGTCTCCAAGAGGGAAACACCGGATCCGTTGACGAGATGGCCGCAGTGCGGACATTCTTGAGTGCATTCCTCATTTTGGGACACCCTGCCCAAGTCCTTAGTAATAGGGAAGGCAGTAGTGAACAGGAGCAGGTTGGAGCAACTCTGGCGCAGCCAATGCCGAAGGATGATCTAGCTAATCCACAGCTGCAGGAACTCGTTGGGAAGGCACGAGACCTTTTGATTTCGTTTGAGAACACGCTGTCTCGGTTGACATCGCTCAACAACTATACTCCCCCGCCCGCACTCGTCGAGTCGCTGCCTGAAGTGTATGCGACTTTCTATAATGCGTTTATCGCATGGAAAGCCCGTGACTCTAGCGCGCTCATTCAGGTCATGTTACTACAGTTTGTTGAGCTGGATGCTATCTGGCAGTCCGTGAAGGATAGCACTGATCCATCTGTCACTGATCAATACCGCCAAAGTATACAGGATAATCAGGTCAAGCTTATGGTGAGAATCAAGAAGCTGGCCGGTGCCGAGCAAGGCAAGAAGATGGTCTTCGAAGCTGTCAGGAAAGCTCGCAAGGCAAGGGCACAGAAGAAACCGGCTGGAGACACGAAGCCACGAGTTGCAGACCAATCAATTACGACGGAAACTGTAATGGATGACTTGGTGACCACCAGTGAGCGCAGGTCAGCAGCTGCTACACAACAGCCTACGCCACCATCCACGCCAAATGCTAGGCAGCGGTCCTCAGATATCCATGTTCGTCCGGCGAGCAGGAAAGGTAGTCTGCTGCCCGACAATCGCATTGTGGTCCACGAGCTAGCCATTAACCGAGAATATCGCGTCTCTGCGGATGAATTCATGGAGGCCGAGACCAAAGCGCTGCAGCCGTTGCTGGAAGAGATGCGCAACACGATGGTGGATGACCAGCAAGAGGAACACTTCTTCCTCCTGCTGTCTATCGCGGACTATATACGCGATAAGCTGCAACGCTTGGTGCGACCAGGTAACTCGATGCACACCTTCATTGGTGAGCTCCTTGACGTGGACATGGCGAAACGCCAATTCAGCGCTGGGAGCTTCTCTTATGAGAGATTCTTCTCGTCCATGGGTGCTTTGCTGCCTAAGCTCTGTGCGCCTGTCCGCGATGACGAAGTGAAAGACCTCGTTGAGAACAAGCTAAGCCAGGGAAGCTATGTTGACCGTCTCGAGGCGCTTATCCTCTTCATCGACGTCATGCTGAGTGACTACGCGAACCACTTGCTTCACCTGGTGGCACCAAAGCTGCTCGAATCTGCATCGCAGTATGAGGCAAAATCATTCTCTTCTGCATTGGAAATGGGAGTGCACGATCTGTCTGCCGCAGAGGCGGCATGGCGTGTAGCACGTAGCAAGGTTCTCACAGAGGTATCCCGTCGCGACCCTGAAGGCATTAACCACCCCAAATCACGGCCGACTCCGGACAGGATTTACAACCAGATGCTAGTAGACATCTTTACGCAGCTCGGTCCTATGCCGTCAGACGAGGTCCCCGAGATGCTGCGCCTTGATCACAAGCGTATTGCAAAGTACGGCACACTGTCCAGAAGAATCATCACAGCTGGTGCGATCCTTTTGCAGTGCAAAAACCTTCTCAAGCGCGACGTCCGGGCTCCGTGGAAGACCGAAGCTGGAAGAATCATGTCAGTCCTCGAGGCTGCAGATCGGCAGCCGAATAGTGATGCCATTGTCGATGGGGTTATGGCTGCTCTCGAAGCCGGCCGCTCTATGCCGGCCGCTACCAAAGGGCATCTTCGTGCTCTGGTTCAAAAGCTGGCAATAGCTAGCATGGAGTGCGCTACCAAGGCAAATGGCACCTTGGCATCCTCGGAGCCTAGGGAGCCGGTCTTGAGATTGCTACTCAACCGTCTCAGGGGTCACATGCTGGCCCGACTGGCAGCTGGAAGCACCAGCGAGAAGGTCAAAGCTACCAGCACAGCTGGCGAGAAATTGGCCGGTCTCGGGCTTGCAGAGTTCACGGATCGAGTACGTGAGATGGTGGACGAGATTGCCAAAGTCGGCAGTGTCGACCGCGAAGCCCATAGCGTATGGTGGGAGAATGTGGCCGAGAAGGCTGAGCGCGAAGAGAGCTCTTGAGCAGGAAGGAAGCACCATTCCAAAGAGCTACAATTTGAACTAGTAGGGCCGGGACAAGAAGGCAACATGTTTGATTGGCCGTGTTTGAACGCATTGGATTTATCTGGACAGGGAGACACTTGGGGACAGCTCGGCAGAGCTCATCACAGGACAGCGGCGTTTGATAGGCGGTTTCTGGTTTCATTTTGGCTTTTGGCATGGGCTGTGTGATTATCATGTTATTATTCGGGCATCATCTTTCCTTTGGTCGCATGGCATTATCATCTGGATGAAGCGCGACAGTTGAAGTCGTGCGGTATCATGACTAGCGAATGACACAACACAGCACAGCAATACATAACCTCACAATGCAAAGCGATGCAATGGAATGCAACGATTATGAACGTACAAGTCCTTGTGTTGAGTGTGAGCAGTCATTAATTGAGTGATTGGCCATCTCGGACACGGTCTCCTAGTGCAGATACTGTAAAAATATGGCCAGGAGCATTTAGGCTATCGAGTAGGTCTAGGCTATCCTACACAGTGCCAAGCAGCCGCGTCCAGTTCCCACTGTGTGCCTGGGTGGTGCTGTAAGAGCCTCCTTTTGGACGCGCCCGAATCGTTGTGTCACAGCGGCCGGGCGTCTTCCTTGCCCAGCTTCTCCTGACTAAATCTGTAGAGTCGCCGCCCACGAGACAACCGACGAGGACGCCGATCCACAACTAGCCAGGTGCTACTATGGAGCGGTAATTGACTTGCTAGAACGGGCAGGTGTCTTTTATAAGCCCGCGAGGATGGCTTCTCTTTGGGGCGCCGTCATGATCAAGCATGCGCGGGTATCGACGGTTCGATGCTGGTTAGGCCTGAGAACCGCTATCCTGCCGAACCTGCGCGGCTTCAAGAATTTTCGCAGAGCCGGCAACCCACAAGCGGCAGCAGCCAGAAGCTTCGGCACACGACCATCACCACTACCAACACGACAGCAGGGCGACGCTAATGGGCAAACAGTGCCCGTATGCAGCGTTAATAAGTTCACACACACATACGCAGCTGTTTGTACCAATCGTGGGGCACATCGTCCTCGCTCTTTGGCTTTGGGAATTTTCTTATTTAAGCGGATCAGCAGCAGTAGCCGTAATATTCACCATATTCACCATATTCACCACATTCACCATCCCCAGATTCGCCGTCTATCGTCGTCAGTCTCCGGTTCGCATATTGCTGCTGCTCTTGCTCCTGCTGCTGGCTGCCACCTGCACCAGCGGCCGACGACGACCATCTCTATCGGTCAGCTCCACTCGCGGCTCGTAGCTCCGACGACGCCACAGAATTGCTCGCCGCGGGGTTATCACTCCATCACCTCATCGTCGCTGTCCTCTACCACCACAGCCTCAGCCTCAGCATCGCTTCATACAGACGCGACAATGGCCGACCGAGAGATCCTGCCGGACAACTTTCGGCCCCAGCACTACGATCTGGTCCTCACTGACCTGAACTTTGCCGAATGGACCTACAAAGGCACTGTTATGTATGTTGTTCTCCCCTTTCAGCTTGTAGCAGCTGCCCCTCCCCCACCACCAATACCTCCCTTGTCGATCAGCGTTTGAAGCGCTTGCCCACAGAATGCAATCGATGGGAAACAACTCATCCCAGTTCAATTGAGATTGGTTGAAGCATTGGCTCAAGTGATGCTGGACATGAATAGCAGTGCCTGTCTTCAGGACGATTGTCACTGTGTGAGTTGCCAGGGTGCTGCCAGCCAAGGATCTAGACATTTCATCCCCCCTGCCATTAAGTCTCAGTGAGATGCTGACAATGTACCCCATAGCATCAATGGACCCTTTCAGAAGGCCACCAAGGAGATTGTGCTGAACTCCTTGGAGCTCACACTCAAGAAGGCTGAGGTTGTCACTGAGCAGACCAAGTCTAGCACAAGCTTCACCTCCACCACATTCAACTATGACGAGAAAGCACAGCGGGTCACTATTCCCTTTGACACTGAGATCCCAGTGTCTAGCAAGGCTAGCATCCGTATTGAATTCACCGGCATCATGAACCATGACATGGCTGGATTCTACCGGTCCCAGTACAAGCCCGCTGCCCCGCCAGCCAAGAGTGTGCCCTTCGACGATGACTGGCATTACATGCTAAACACGCAGTTTGAGAGTTGCGATGCTCGGAGAGCTTTCCCCTGCTTTGACGAGCCGAACCTCAAGGCTACATTCGATTTTGCTATTGAGATTCCGGACGACCAGGTAGCCCTCAGCAACATGCCAGTCAAGACCACTACCGAGTCCAGGGCTGGCAAGAAGCTCGTCGCTTTCGAGACCTCACCTGCCATGAGCACCTACCTCTATGCCTGGGCTGTAGGAGACTTCGAGTATATTGAGGCCTTTACCGATCGCAAGTACAACGGCAAGCAGCTTCCCGTACGACTATACACTACCAGGGGCCTGAAGGAGCAGGGTCAGTGGGCCCTGCAGCATGCTCCCAAGATTATCGACTTCTTTTCCGAGGCATTCGAGATTGACTACCCGCTTCCCAAGTCCGACATCTTGGCTGTGCACGAGTTCACTCACGGCGCTATGGAGAACTGGGGATTGGTGACTTACCGCATGACCGCTATTCTATTTGACGAGAAGCAGTCCGAGGCTCGTTTCCGCAACCGTATCGCCTATGTTGTTGCCCATGAACTGGCTCATCAGTGGTTCGGTAACCTCGTCACGATGGACTGGTGGGATGAGCTGTGGTTAAACGAGGGCTTCGCTACATGGGCTGGTTGGTTGGCGATTGACCACCTGCATCCCGAGTGGGAGGTGTGGCCTCAATTCATCAACGAGGGCATGGAGAATGCTCTGAAGCTCGATGGTCTGCGCTCTTCTCATCCCATTCAGGTTCCGGTGCGCAACGCGCTTGATATCAACCAGGTCTTTGATGCCATCAGCTACTTGAAGGGTTGCTCAAACATTCGCATGTTGGCTAGCCACCTTGGCGTCAAGACTTTCCTCAAGGGCGTTGCCATCTATCTGAAGAAACACGCTTACGGTAACGCGAAGACCAAGGCTCTGTGGGACGCGCTCTCTGAGGCCTCTGGACAAGATGTCAACGCCCTGATGAAGCCGTGGATCGAGAAGATTGGCTTCCCCGTTTTGACCGTTGGCGAGGAGCCGCGCCAAATCACTGTCAAGCAGTCACGTTTCCTGTCCACCGGTGATGTCAAGCCCGAGGATGACACAACGACTTGGTGGGTACCTTTGGCCTTCCAGGGGAAGATTGGCACACAGGACGCCGTTCCACTGGCTCTGACATCCAGAGAGGAGACGATCCGAGATGTCGATAATGACTTCTATCTCATCAACTCCAAGGCCACCGGCTTCTACCGCGTGAACTATCCACCCCTGCGTCTTCGCCTGCTCGGCACACAGCTCGATCGCTTGAGCACCGAAGACAAGATCTCCATCACGGGCTCGGCTGCCGACCTTGCCTTCTCCGGCTATGGCACGACACCTGCGATGCTGTCTTTCATCCAAGGATTCAAGAACGAGACGCATTACCGTGTGCTGAGCCAAGCTCTGGACTCAATTGCACTTGCCAAGTCTATCTTTGGAGAAGATGATACGATCAAGGCGGGCCTGGAAAAGTTCACCCTTTACCTGATTGACAGCGCCTTGAGCAAGTTGGGCTGGGACTTCCCGCAGGGTGAGGACTACAACACTGCACTCTTGCGGAAGCGTCTTCTGTTGACTGCTTCCGTCAATGGACATCCTGCGGTCCAAGAAGAGGCCTTCTCTCGATTCAATGCCTACAAGGAGTCAAAGAGCCTCACTGCCGACCTCCGCACACCTGTCTTCCGTGTCGCTCTCCAGAGAGATCCTGTTGGTGCCACTGCATTCCTCAAGGACGAGTGGTATAACACCACGGCTGTTGATGGCAAGGAGGTCTTGCTGCTTGTACTCGGTCACGTTTCTGATCCCGAGGTCATCAAGTCCACACTGCTCCCATTCCTGTTCAACATCTCGCCACCGGCTCCGGCCAAGGACTCTATTCCCAGCGCCGACATGCACATCCTCGCGGGCAGCTTGGCGAACAACCGCGTCGCGCGACCGCTACTGTGGGAATTCATGAAGAACAACTGGGACGACATCGAGAAGAAGATCAGCGGCAACCCCATCCTGCTGGACCGGCTGATCAAGGTGTCGCTGTCCAAGTTCGCCGACTACGGCATGCTCGAGGAGATCGACTCCTTCTTCGCGGACAAGGACAAGACGCGGTTCGACCGCACGCTGGAGCAGGTCAAGGACCTGATTAGGGGACGGGCGGCGTACAAGGAGCGGGATGCGGCGGTGCTGAAGGAGTGGTTGACCACCAATGGATACGCGTAGGGCACGTCTTCTTTTGGATCGTACATCGCACCCATGTTTGCGTAGTTCAGAGTAGAGAAAAGCTGGTACTGAAATCGCATCTTTTCCCATGGAATGTGTACTAAATGATCCTTTTCCCTTGTGTCATCAGGGGCCTACAGCGTTGATGTGAAAAGCTCAGGAGTACTCCTTGACCACAATGATTGTAATCAGGGAGGAAGTCATGACCTACCGACGGTTCACCGGCCCCCCTTATTCCCATGGACCTTTTCCATCTGATGATAAGTGGTGACGCAGCCTGACAGGAGGCGGCGGGTAAGTTGTGGGGATGGGATGTGACTCTGCGGCAATGCCAAGAGCCTCATTTGAGGCGCCACGGCTCTAGTTGCCTCAAATTGAGAGCACCCAACAGGGATCGTCTTCCGAGCTCCGACTGAAGCTGCACCTGTGCTCCAACCGCCAGGCTCACGAGTTCGTCTGAAGAAACCACTTTTGGATCGAGGAGCCCCAGGGGATGTCGAGCCGGTGTCTGATCCTTGCGGGTTATCGTCGCGTGGGAGATGCCTTGCTGGGTTGAAAAATGCACGTCGAACTGTTGACATGGGATGCATCGCATGAATGCAACCTTGTGGCTCAGAAGGGATGACTTACACGCGTACGTCTATAGCAAGCACGAGCGATTCGAGCGATGCATGCCTAGATGTCTTTCACGTTAGGTCGAGCGTTTCTCATAAAGTAGTCACTGACCCATTACCACGGCATGGCGAGACGACTGCATGGAGTCGTACATTGGATCGCCTTGGCGTGCACACGCGAGAAACAGCCGCCCCAACTTGGCGCCGATCATGTCATTTCCACTCGATGATGGGCACCAGGGAAAAGAAATCAGCACGTCTAGCCGACGCAGTGGGCTGTTGTGCGGCGTGCGATATCTGATCTATTAAGGGGATTCGGGAGGATCCCGTTTCAACGTGGCGCTAAGTTTGGCGTTTTACCAAAGCAACCCCTGGGCCAGATCACCCCCCGACCAGGATCCCCATTCATGTCGGCGCACCGCCAAAGTCTGCTGGGTGTCCGCGCAGGGCAGGGGATATCGATTCGATATGGATACTATCCAGAAAATTCCACCAGTCTGGTGTGCGCGTTGGTGTTTCGGTGTAAGTGACGAACTGTTGGCATCCCCACCGTGGGCCATCCGTGTAAGTGGGCTGCGGCGAAGCTCGAGAAGATAAATACAGCCATGAGTGTCCTCACGGAGAAGAAGTATACTGTTCCTCAGCACTCATTGTAGACTGCATTCTTTCTTGGTTTTCTTACCTATCCATTCTTTCTATCAACTTCACATTAGTCGCCTTCACTGTGTGAAGCTGGGACACTCTTTTGACAACTTTCGCTTCATTCGAACACCGAACATCGCTCAACCTAGCCATATCTTCAGTCCATCCGACTTGATACAAACAATTGGTCTATTTCTTCCACGTCCAAATTAACAACCATGTCTTTTGCAACCAAACTTGCGCTTATTGGCACTTTCGCCACTTCTACTCTCGCCCACGGCCTTGTGAGCGGCTTCGTGACCGACGGATCGTACAATCAGGGTTTCTTGCTTGATTATTACTATGCCAAGGTCAACGGCCAGGCTGTTCCTGATATCGCCTCATGGTCGGCCGAGAACCTGGACAACGGATTTGTTGACGGCAGCAGCTACACGGCTGCTGATATCATCTGCCACAAGAATGCCGAGCCGGGCAAGATTACCGCGAAGGTCGCTGCTGGTGGCACTGTCGAGTTCCAGTGGACTGTCTGGCCCGACTCCCACTTCGGCCCTGTCTTCACTTACATTGCCAGCTGTGGCGATGACTGCTCCACCGTCGACAAGACTGCACTCAAGTGGATCAAGATTGACGAAGCCGGCATTGATCTTGACACACAGGAGTGGGCAGCCACGAAGCTGATCGCCAACAACAACACCTGGGTCACCACTGTCCCGGAGTCCATCGCCCCCGGCAACTACGTCTTCCGCCACGAGATCATCGCCATGCATGCGGCCGGCTCCCTGAACGGCGCCCAGAACTACCCGCAGTGCGCCAACATCGAGATTACCGGCTCCGGCACTGAGCTGCCAGAGGGCGTCCTCGGCACCGAGCTGTACTCGCCTACTGACCCGGGCATCCTGTTCAACCCCTACACCACCCTCACGAACTACACGATCCCCGGCCCTACTCTATTCAGCGGCGCGAGCTCCGGCGGCAGCCCCGCTACCTCCGCGGCGGTTTCCGCCACCTCCGCGGCTGCGGTCACCAGCGCGCCTGCGGCGATCGCCACCTCTGCCGTTGTCAGCTCTGTTGCTGCCGTGCCGACGACCTCTGCTGTCGAGGAGACCCCGGCTGCCACCTCCACGGCGCCTGTTGCCACTGCTACCCCGAGCACGCCCGTCACCTGTGGTAGCAAGCGGAAGGTCCGCCGCCATGCTCGCGACATCTCCAAGAAGATGTGAGGACTTGATGTTGGTCATGGACATGTGTATGATTATAGAGGCTGAGCCCTTGTTCTGTTCTACCTGTAAATAGATTATACAATAGTGTACATGTATAACAGTTGCGCTTTAGTCGACTGAATGCGGGATCGTGCACAACCCTACTGTTTACATCAAGTGACATGACCTTGCAATAGGTTTCCGGCCTCTGAAATGCCATTTCTTTGATGCGAATCTAAGAAAGTAGAGCTATCATAGATGACGTAAAAAGTTTTTGCAGTTGGGTAGTCATTGGGCTGTGGTCCCAATATCACTTCCCTATGCTATTTCTGATATGATGAATAAAGAAGGCTTCTCTCATCGCACGTTACCATGTCCGTGACCTGCAATAAATAGCTACTATCACGGCGTGATTTACTCATGCTTCAATCCTTTTCACCCAATTCGGTCTGGTGTCATGTCCTTGAGCACTATCGCTCATATAATTGTCAGATAAGAGATGCGCCGATAAAGGTAACGGCTGGCAAGTACTCTAAAACTGTTTCAGACAAGCTTCAGTTCCTTAATAATGATATCCGCCCCTTTCTCGCCAATGACAAGAGCTGTCTAAGGTGAACGGATTTGTTAGTATGTGGTCTAAGGGATGGTTATAACGATGATCAATGAAACTTACATTATGGGTGTTGGCCCCAACATTCTCTGGCGCAATGCTGAGGTCAACAACTTTGAGGCCATGCACTCCGTAGACATTCAAGCTCCTATCCACGACACCCATCTCTTCACGCGGTGCCATCTTGTTTGTTCCTAAGGAATGCCACGTACTTGATACTCCCTCACGTATCCATTTTTCTAGAGCTTTGTTGTCTTCATCGGAATATTCAAGGTTTTCGACCTGGTCCATCTTCAGGCCTTCATCAGCTAATGTGATACACGCAGCCTTTGAGTCGGGCGGAAATCTCGGATGGCCCGAAATCACCTCGCCACGATACATATCTGTTCGTCTCATAAGCTCGCGGGTCTTCTTGTATGCAAACATCAGCGCAGTTACATCCTTCGGATCACTCAAAAACCCGCAGTCGAAGTCAACATCGTCGTTAGGCTTATAGCCAGTGATGTGGATGCTGCCTCGTGACCAAGGGTAGGCTGTGTATGGAACAACGGTGATATACTGTCCAGGATCAACAGACTGGTGGTCGCCTAGGTAGCTACAGATCAATGATTAGTACTGCATTGCACACTTATGGGTGTCCAGGAAATTCAAGAAAGAGACTAATCATACCCAGAAACCGGGGCTATCAATGTGAATGGTTTGTTTGGTTGGTTCTTGAAGTCTTGGCTCCAAGCTTTCTCAAAAGAACCTCCAAGCTCAGCGACCTCGGTTTCAGTAGGACGAATCTGCCCAAATATGTCGCAAGCATTCCATCCAAGGATGGGATCATTTTTAGATGTCGCATCTTCTTGGGCATAGCGACCACTCCAGAGACCATCAAGTGTCTCTTCCGGGGTCAAGTTCGTTTTGTAAGGACAGTAGACGGCGTTATGATCTTGATAGCCGCTACCTACACCAGGCAAGTCCACCAATACGGATAAGCCTGCTTGCTTGAGGACCATGGGGTCGCCAATGCGCGAGCGCTCTAGGATCTGTGGCGATCCTAACGCACCACTGGACAGAACTACCATCTTCCTTGCCTTGATAACTTGCATGGGGGATACACACATAGGGCTCGATGTTTTATAACCTGAGCAAGGAACTATTTCGACTCCGTTGGCATGAAGGTTGTCATCGAATAAGACACGGACGACTTTCGACTTAAGAAGAACATGCAAGTTTGGGTGTCTCCCATCTTCGAGTTTTGGGAGGAGATAAGTGTGTGCAATATCTTGTCGTCTTCCCTCCGGTGAGATATAATGCGTCCAACGTTCGAAGCCCATGGGAGAATCAAATGCCTGCGCATCCCTTAGTTCAACATAACCGAGTTTAGTTGCGGCTTTGATCAACTGATTCGAGCTTGCGTGAGAGCGGAAAGGACCGTCGGAAACTTGGATGGGACCAGCGCAGCCATGTGTGCTCAGATCACCTCGGCCATGATACGTCTCGAGCTGAAAATACAATTGTCAGCGGTGTTTCTAAAGTTTCGAGCAAAAGCACACCACTCACCTTCTTGAAAAACGGCATAAGTTCATCCATAGTCCATCCAGGTGTTTTCCAAGAATCGAAATCACATCGCTGGCCACGAGTGTATCTATTCAAGTCAGACAATAGGTCGATTAGTCTCGTCTAGGCGGCTTACGCCATGAAATTGATAGATGAGCCTCCACCTAGAATCCCGCCAGACTGAACGATGACATTTCGATTGGCAACATTTGCCGTTGCTTTGGACTTCCAGTGTATGGCTGTGTCGGTGCTTGGAACGAGGTTCTGGACAAACAAGGCAGGATAAATGACGGAAGGGATGTTCTTATTATTCGCACCGGCTTCGACGAGAAGAATGGCTAAAGTCGGGTCCGCTTCGGCTAGTCTGCTTGCAACAATACACCCTGCCGAGCCACCTTTAGAAGTCGAGGCAAGTTAGCCAAGAACCTCAAGTTACGGAGTTGAAGAGTAATGAATGATGTACAGCATACCACCAGCAATCAGCACATCTACTTCTTTGATCACATCGTCAATTGTGGAGAAAAGCATCATGTATTGATTGTGTTGAGCACGTGTGGAAGTGTTTGAAATCTGGCTTTTCCAAGGTTTCTTGGATTCGAAAACACCAAGAAGTCTCTGCAAGATAAAGCCTTAGCACCGCTTTGCTATATAAACTCGTCCTCTTCCTTGAAACTTTCTCTTTTCGGGTATTTTGCAATATTCTCGGGCAGAACGATAATGGGAACGTAGTGCGTCAATTTTAGTTTGCCGTGTACCACTTTCTCGGATGTGATGGTGTTGGTGTTGGCTGAATGAGATAGATGCGCTGGAGGTCTTGTGTTACCATGTCCGAGCGATAGATTATGCTGTGACACCATCTCCTTCGCCAAACTCCGTTCAGTTGCAGAATAACCGTAACACACTTCCTTGATTGCCCGTAGATAGAGCGGGAAATGTTGTGAACATCTCACAGAATGATGTGCAAAAGTCCACCTAGGCAAGATGGGCCAGTTTTTTGCGGGGTCAATTGAGAGGGAGCCACCGATGAGCAGCACGCGACACATCCTTCGTACACCTCCGCCAGGGTAATAAACGTTATTTTAGCGAGTTGAATATACCAGAAAACCAGCGTTGAGAGTATCTGATTGAGGCTTTGAAGATTCTGTTTATTTCTATAGCCCTACTGGTCTTGACAAAAGTAGCAACTCTCCTGTCTGAAAAGTCACAATTCTCACCCAGAATTAACAAATATTACCCCGGCAGAGGTGTATATCGGTAACTTGGGGAGCTCCTCGAATGAAAACAAAGTTTAGACCTTTAGCTACGACCCTAAGGTTGTTGCATAGATATATAGGGAGGCTTCTCTCCAAACATGGTTCCTATCGCCGTTCATACCTGATGTTTTGTTGATCTGATGGGTTTTGAGAACATCACTGGGAGAGACGCGCTAGGTTCATCGTTTCATGGTCAAGGTCCAATATGAGAATCCAAATTCAAAATCATTAGTATGCACAGTTTATTATGAATATCAATGCTTAATAAGACAAACTGAAAACAAAGGAACGCAGAAATGCTAACACATGAACTAAGCTAACTGCCGGATGAATGAAGTCTTAAGTACCTCGACATACGCTAATGATATATAGGAACTTCGGTTGAGGTCCAACGACCAAAATAGCTCGGAAACCTTGCCACATCGTGTGTCTCTGAAAATTAAAACCTAATATAGATTGTGAGTTTGGGCAGTAAGCTTTTCTTGCTCTTAAGTATCATTTCATCCCGACTTTCACTATGGGTATCTGTCCCTCGGTAGACGACTTGTAGATATACACTAGTAGGAAGCCTATAAATTAGCTTCCTACTTAGACTTCCTAGTATTCCTAAAACTCAAAATATTATCTTTAGTCACTCGTCCGGTAAATCACCCAAACATTCTACTAAAGCTAAACAATGTAAGGGATGATAGAGCTTATCGATAGCTTACATACATAATCTATTACTTAGGTTCTTAGGATACAGCAGGGTATAGTGATAATATGTCAATGCATTCTATGCTTTATCTAAATCCTCTAAGTCTGATTTTATCTACTCTAGGTACAAAGAGAAGGGAAGGTGTTTGAAAATATGATATGAACTTGCTCTAGCGAGATGCCATTACACTCTCCCAAAAATACCCTGGGGAGTAATGATCTTGGTTGCGAGAGCAATGATACCGCCACATAGACACATGGCTCCGCTGAACATTGACACCTCAAAGAAACCCCCATACTTGTTAATGAATGCCCCGTTCACAGGAGGTCCAATGAGACTTCCAAGACCGCCCAAGAACATGCCAATGCCCATATACGTTCCCATATCTCGAACGTCTTTAACGCAAACCGACATAGCCGCAGTAGCCCCTGAGATGATGGTTCCAGAAGCAAAACCAAAGACAACAGAGTACACAATTAAGCCTGCATTGCTCGTCGCCGAATTCATGCAAAACCCAACAATCCCGGTCATTACACCTCCAAGTGCAAACACGTTGATTCGACCATATCTGTCCGCCAGTACACCCGGGATGACACGACCGAAAGTGGATGCTGCGTTGATGATTGCGAGCAAGTAACCAGCCAACGTGGTATTCATGCCTCTTGTCACTGCATAAGATGGCATGTAGAATAGAGGTGTAAGCATGCCCGTAAACATGAAGAACATTGCCAATATTAGCAGGTCAAATTTTGGGTCTTTAAAAGCAGCTGAAATCCAAAAGTTGCTAGTCCTGGATGGTAGTCGAGCTCTGACTGCCAAGCATGCGAAAGTCATGAAAGGCAAGATGAGAAAGCCAATAACTCGGACGGACCATCCAAATCCCAAAGATGAGCCATTGAGCATCTTGGAGAGTGCAATTGGGATAATGACACCCCCAAACGAAGAGCCGGATATGACAATTCCTAGAGCAGCCGCTCTTTTTTTGTCGAAGTATTGCGAAACCGCTGCGAATGCTGGAAACTGAATGAGACCCATGCATGTCCCCATCAAAACGCCCTGTACCAGCATAAATTGCCAATATTTGTCGCACAAGCTGAGCATCATCATAAGAAAGGCGTAGAGTATTGAAGCCGGCCTCATGATCTACAATAGCAGGTTAGCTATACTCTGAAGTTATATAAGTTGTTGGGCATACCCATGCACCAAAGCGATCGAACAACGGTCCTCCAACTAGGCCAGCTGCAAACTGAAGAAATGCTGCTATAGATCCAATCCATGCAACGTTATCTGGTGATTCGTTTTGGAGTTGATGTCGTAGGTAATACTCCTCAAAAGTACCAAATGCATTCGCGAAGCCAAGACAGCAAAAGCAGATGGCAGAACCACCAATCGCAACAAGCCAAGCCCGGAGTCCTCCATCAGGTGCCTCTCCAAATTCAGAAGGCTGATGAAAGGCTTTTTTCTGGTCAATTGCGGGAACATTGGTTGCTTCATGTCCATCTTCGAGTTGGGATAATCCCGATCTCGTTTCAGTGGTCGTCATTTTGGACTTTAACTAAACTATGGAAATCAGCCTCGAAGTACAATGCTTTGCGACTATAATGAAGAGAGTTGTTTTTTGATACCATGAAGTTGAACCGTGACATGATTGAGCTGCAACAGACGAGATTCGTCGCTATATATTAAATAAATCGAACATGCATTACAAAACAGATCTCTACTGCAAAAGATACACTCGAATTTGGGGCGGTCTCGGGGTCGGCATTTTACATAAGATCACTGGGTTCTGGATGAACAATTGCGGAGCCGTGGACCAATCGACGTCTCAAGTGGAGACGCCCAATTGGGATAAGCACAAGTCAGGAAGAGAAAACTATCGGCCATCGAGTCGGAAAATGGCGGGCGATACGGACAGCCGACGCAGAAATCCATTATTATTTCACCGCACACAACATCATATCTTCTGCATTTAGCTTCATATAACCACCGACAGTCGGAGATATCCATGTCAAGATCGCCCGATGAATTGTCCCTGTAATCATCGGAGACCGGACCATCAACGCGGAGAGAAGCTAGCTCTTGATTATTCAGTATGGCCGAGCCGGACCGTCGGCGTAGGCGCCCAGCTGTGTAAGGGGTGAACCCCTTCTAGATGATCCATGCTAACATTTGTTAGCTCTTGTTCTCTATGCAGAAGACGCAAGATCCGATGCAATCGAGAAACTCCTTGCAGTAATTGTCTAAGATCTAGGAATGCTGATTGTGTCTACGAGATTCGCCCTTCTCCGTCCTGGCAAAAACAGTGCCAAATCAGCGGGCCTGCCGCCCAGCAATTAGGAAGCACTGATGAAGCCTTAAGCTCAAGTAGAGGCTCTACCACTTCAAATCATGCGCCATTGTCTTCCATACCAAGTTCGACAACGGTGTCAACACCTGTTAGCACACATTCTGCACGCGAACTCGAATTTATGAAAAGCAGAATTCGACAGCTTGAAGAGCAGCTATCTAAATCCACCGCAGTATCTAGTCGGTCTTCTGCCCCGACACCGAATTCCAATATAGAGACGATATCTTCGGCGCTGGGAGGTGATATCCATATTCATCATGAAGACCCTCTCATTGGCCATGCACAAGCCATCAGCCATAAAACTCGCTTGTTTGGTCGAAGTCACTGGATCAACGGCGCTTTACTGGTACGTTATCCGGCTCAAGCAATCATTATCCGTGTAGACCGCCCTACTAAAAGGACATTAGGCTCGAGACACGTTCTTGAAGATTGAACCCTTCATTCGTCTGGAGCCATCCAAGTCCTTCTCCGGCATTCAAAAATGTAAATCCTTGGCAAGAATCATAAAAGCACATCGTTCGCCTTCGTGGCCATCTCCTTCGCGTAACGACTTACCGTCAAAAGACATCGCCGACAGCCTTGTCAGCTGTTACCTCCGAACATTTGAAACAATATACCGGGTTCTACATGTGCCTTCTTTCAAGAAAGACTACCAGGCATTGTGGCTTTCCAACGCTGAGCCCGATGCAGGCTTTCTTGTGCAGGTGAAATTGGTTCTTGCCATTGGAGCCACCGTGTTCGACGAGCATTTCTCCATGCGCACATCGGCAATCCAATGGGTATATGAGGCTCAAGCTTGGTCCTCAGAGCCTGGGTTTAAGCAACGACTGAATATTCAAACCATACAGATTGACATCCTTCTTCTACTGGCTCGGGAAACTGCTGGAGTGGGCTGGGATCTCGTTTGGGTTTCCGCAGGCACGTTGTACAGGAAAGCGGTATTTATGGGGTTACATAAAGACCCAATGTATCTGCCAAAACAGAATACGTTCTCTGCAGAGATGCGACGGAGACTATGGAACGCGATACTTGAGATATCTTTGCAATCGAGCCTATCTTCAGGAGCTCCTCCGCTTCTTACCCTCGACGACTTCGATACAGAGCCTCCTGGAAACTTCGATGACGATCAGCTTTTGGAGGAAGGCTCCGTGGCAAAACCCAATGGCGATTATAGTAATACGTCGATGGCAATTGCTATGAGAAGGACTTTTCCCACTCGACTTGCAGTTGTCAAGTTCCTCAACGATCTTGGAACTCATAGTACATACGAGGAGACGCTTAGACTTGACGCAGAATTGAGAGTCTCATACAAATCCCTGCGCCAAACTCTTCAGGAATATCAGCCAGAGTCTGGACAGTGCCCTTCCCAATTTGAGATGCGTGTCGTGGACTCTATCTTGTGCCGCTACATCTCCATCCTTCACGTCCCATATTTTGGCGCAGCATTACATGGAACAACCTATGCATACTCCCGACGAGTGGTTCTGGAGACCTCGCTCAAGATATGGTGTACTGCGTTCCCCTCATCATCAACAACCGGCCAATTAGCTACTAATGTAGATTCTTTACTAAAAGACGATTTTACGCGACTCACGAGTTTTGGCTCCTCGTTCTTCCGTACTGCCGCCTTCCATTCTTGTGTATTGATAATGATGGAGCTTAAGGCTGAGCTGGAAGAAGAGAGCTTGGGACCTGTGCCTCTCAGACCGGATCTGTTTTCCGTGATAGAAGTTGCGAAGGAGATGTTCTTGCGTTCGATCGCAGCTGGAGACACTAACATAAAAGGCTATTTGTTAATGCGACTCATTGCTGCTCATATAGAAGCGCTGATGCAGGGCGTGCAAAAGGATAAATTTGGCGAGGTGATATTGAAAGCCGTGGAGGACACTACAGACAAATGCCTGCCAATTCTCGAACAGATGGCCGCCCAAGCAGATCCCGCAAGATTTGAAGAGAATCTTAATCAGATGTCTCTGAAAACGCCATCTGACATAATGGAGGACTGGGACTTGATGGTATGTAAAAATCCGTCTGCCTTCCCGGATACCTCGCTCACCGTGTTTATTAGATGTCTGAGGCACAGTTTAACCTTGATAATCCGGATATAATGGGCTGGTTGGTAAATGATGGGCCGCTCCAAGAACCTCCACTATGGTAATGGAAGGCTCGTCTGGCTTCTTTCTTTTGAGTGGCTTGATGAGAAACCCAAGAATTGAGTCGGGCTAGAGCAGTTGACTGTTTCCACTTTCGCTGTTGCGATGAGTTTCAATGATACAATATTTGTGCTGTATAGCAAGCAAGGTCTATCTCATCAGAGACCTTGAAATATTCTATGCATATGTACCCAAGGTGTACAATACAGACCCGGTGTATCTTCCGCCGATGTAAGTACTTGCAACCTTCCGAGGAACGAGTCCGCCAAAACGCATGCTCCCACCCATGGCAGTTCATTCACCGGTGAAGATCTGTTGTTTCTAGCTCATGAAGTCGACATGTTATTCGTGCTCTATAATCCCCCGTGTTGCTTATAGACTCGTCTGCGCAACGCGAACGGATGGTTGAGCAGGCCAATGCTTGTTGGAATTCGTGACACTATGCAACAACGCGTCTTTTTCATTCATCGAAATTTTAAGGTTGATCACATACATGGAAATCTATATAACAGACATGTCTGCTAATTTAACCGCTCGGGATCGACCACTCTATGATGTGGAAAGGGTTGATCTTTACCCGCGTGGAAGAACGGGCAATTGATTGTAGGCTGAAATACTGGAAGACTCGTCCAGATCGACAAACTAGAAATTTTTTAATATGGAAAATGAGATCGCAATTCAAACTTGTAGGATGAATTCGACGACTACGTGTTTGTTTTGCATTCTTTGTCAGTCCTGGTGTGGAATGCAGAAGTTCGTCACGCGTTCCGCGCCGTGTTGTCTCAGCCGTATTTACTGTTGAGCCCACGCCTTGGCCTGGACGGTAGGGAAGCCTATCTCGCCCAAACATGAACCATCTTCTGGGATAATTTATCCTTATTTTACATGGAACAATTGTAAACTTCACGATCTTTTCAATATGGCGCGGCCAACATTGTTTGGCGTTACACTCCTTAGTTCTTTCGCATCTCAAGGCTGGGCCCTGAGTGCTCGCGCTGCTAAGGGAGGGGCACACTCCTTATCGTTCTCCCACGGCGCCGTTACCTTTGAGCACACTATCTTAACTGGATCAACGCCGCATTCTCTCCACCCGATCGAGGTCAATGTGCAAAAGAGAGGAGTGATCAATGACGATAGCGGCGGAACATCGACGTGGTCTAATCTATACAATGATACCGTTCAAGTCCACGCGTCTTATCCTGCCAACGGCTACGTTGGTGCATCTTTCACGGTGGATCTTGACGATGTCATATACGGCATACATGAGTATCCCTTCAATGGCTCGATTAGCAACAACTTCAGCTCTGCAGATGTCGGAGTCTACGGCACTCAGACGGGCGTGAACTGGGCAAATGCACGGGCGCCGTTCTTCTTTAGCAAATCTGGATTCGGAGTCTATGTCGACAGCACGGCACTGGGAACGTTCGATTTCAGCATACCGGGGCAAGCAAGCTTTAGTTTCAACGCGAGCGAGATAGATTACTATGTTATCTACGACACAAACTTAACCTCGTTGTTGACACGGTTCTCGAACCTGAGTAGTACAATTGAGATGCCGCCCGACACTAGTTATGGCCCGATATTCTGGAGCGACGATTTTGAACAGGACTTCCATGGCAACGTTTCTAATGCACAAGAGAATTTCTACGATGTAGTGGATCACTTGTATGAAAATGAGATCCGTGCAACTGCACTTTTTGCTGACAGTCAGTGGTATCTGCTTACCTTTCAATGTGCTTGCTAATTTGATGTAGGACCCTATGGCACAGGGAATAACTCATTTGGGAATTTCGACTTCGACCCAAAGTTCTATCCTACGCCTAAGAAGTTCGTCAAGAATTTGACGGATTATGGATATGATTTCCAGGCTTGGGTAGCAAACCGAGCGTTCTTAGATACGGAGCTTTACAACACGTCTCAAAAGAATGGCTGGCTTTTCCCCAACATCACTGCGACTAATATCTCAGGTCCGGCATTGAACTTGTCTATCCCAGAGGCTTATGATTACTTTCTCGAGAAACTCACGAACTTCTCGAAGATTGGTGTCAAGGGCTTCAAAATTGATCGGGGTGAGGAGCTTGAGATGCCAGACATAGAGCAGAATGAGCAGATGGTGTTGTTTGAAGATTTGTGCTACAAGGCACTGGAGAAAGTCTGGGGCAAAGGCAACTTTTACAACTTTGCGCGCTCGGCATTTGATCGCTCACGGTCCAAGACTGCGGTATGGAATGGTGACTCCCAAGCCAACTTCACTGGCCTCCAATACTCTGTCGCGAGCTCCATCCGCGCCGGCTTGCTTGGCTTCTCACAATGGGGCTCTGACACGGGCGGGTACCTACGAACGGCCACTACGCCGCCTGAAGAGCTCTGGGCTCGATGGATGCACTTTAGCACTTTCACGCCAATGTACGAGCTCATGTTGGGCACCAACCATACACCGTGGTACGATTACTCGCCACGGCTCGTTAAAGTGTTGAAAGATACGGCGGATCTTCACACGCAACTGATTCCATACATCAAGAGCTATACCTACCAGGCAACACAGACTGGACTTCCCGTTGTTCGGGCTCTATTTCTTGAATATCCAACCGATGATTCTGTGTACCAGACGGCGGATGAGTACTCATTCGGAAAAGAGCTGCTTGTTGCGCCTATTGTCACTGAGGGTGGCAGCCGCTCAGTGTACTTCCCCCAAGGTAATGGGAAGTTCCTGGAGTATTTCAACAAGACGGATGTATTCTCTGGCGGCGAGACCCACAATGTCACTGATCTCCCACTCGAGTATGCACCGGTATATGTTCGCGAGGGTGCCATTGTCCCGACTGGCGATCTCTATCAGGGCAATGCGAAGTGGTCTAAGAAGTGGAAGCCGTCTCTCAACATCGAGATCTATCCTAGCTTCAATGTGTCCGTTTCTACATTCGAGTATTATGGGTCCAACGGAACAAATGCTACCGCGACGATCACTGTCACGACGAACAAGCCAAAAGGGGGACTAACAATTATTTACGATGACTTGGGTCTAGATGCGACGGCGTTGGTGTTTACGAAGAATGGAACGAAGAAGGTCGACCTTCCTCAAGGGGGCAATGGGGCAGTGGCGAAGCTCAAGGCGTTTGAAAGTCTTTTTGCTTAGAATGTTGAGTTCAAGGGTGTATTATACTATTGTCCCGTTTAGGAGGCGTGGGTGGCCATCTCTTATTCAAGCATTGTTGTCAGTATTCGGCATCCAATTCGAGAATGATTTACAATCTCATTGATGTCTTCCACCTTTGTAAGGCTGTTGAAGAGTTCCCCGCTGGTCAGTTGCTTTGTAACTTGTTCATTAGTCATGACGGTTCCACAAATCTCCCCCACAACAGCAAAATTGTCTGTTCTGAAATGGAACCATTGCATTTCCTGGAGCGGTATCCAGTAATTCCAATGTACTGCTGCCGTACCGGAATTTGAGCCTCCCCTTGGTGGATACTTCACATCCCAGGGCTCCTCAACATTTGATTCTGCGTCAGGTCTTGTATCAGTAATGACACGGGCTGATGGGATAGCCGTGTCTACTCCATCCAGCTTCAAGATGACGATACATGAGTCATAATAGTCAATGCTATTCAGCTTTGATCCAAATACCCAAGCGGCGCTCGACAAGATTGTATCGCTTACGACGGCCTCAATTTTGAGTTTGTATTTGCCGTCAGCTTCCACTTTTGGAAGGCATGCCTGTGGCACATCTAGAATTGTCTTGGGAAGGCTATCCAGCTTTCGGGTTTGGTCAACATAGCTATAAGCGCCTCTTGGATGTACATGTATCTCATAGGACGAAAGAGCGAATACAAGTTCTCTAACACGAGACTTATACGAATAAGGTAGCTGATCCCACGTGTGCGTTGTGAGACTAGGGTGGTTGAACACTTTGTCGGACCCTTCAGAAAAGTGAAAAAAGATAGATCGAAGAACGAGCCACAGCACTTGTAGGCCTAGAAACAGATAGACAGTGTCACTCGTCTGCTGTCCAAGCGATAGGTAGCATCCTACGACCGAGGTCACAGAGAGCGCAGCCCCTATGGCCCAGAGGGCAGTCCAGATCCATCGATGTCGATGGTTAGTCGGGGCACCCATAAGTATTCTTCGATCGCCGCCAGCACGAATGGGGGTTGGAAGCTGGCCCGCAAGCAGGTCTGTCTTCAAAGCCGCATCGTCAAGAAGTTCCCGGGAAATGTTAAGCGAGTGCAGGACTATGGCGCCTAGAAAGAACCACGCCCATGGGATAATTGATACAAGCGCAAGAGGCAACGCTCCCCAGACCCAAAAGACGGCGATCTCAATAAGTTTGACCGCGGAGCTAACAAGACCAAGCGAGTCCATCCAGTGGACTCTATCGGTCTTATTCTTGCGATAGGCGTCGTCTGTCAGGACGTGAACTTGCAGGGGGTCTTTCGGCCCAGAAAGGGGAATAAATTTCAGATGTTCGGATGTGAATTGGTCGAATTGATAAAGATCTCGTGCTGTGGTAGCCTGATTCTCATTATTGGCGGGCCTCTTCTTCGACAGCTGTTCTCTTGTCAGGTCATTTTTTCTAATGACATCTTAGCAGACTTACCGGCAGCACCTCACATGCGATGCCAATGGCGGAGCCGATCCTGTTACGCCCTCGATGCGTGCTGGCGAGATCCAGGCTCCACCCAAGTGCAAGATCCGTCTCGCTACTCTGCACGCCCAAGACGTTCCGCAGCCACCCCGGAATCACCGCCGAAATGCAAATCTTGGCCACGTGAAGAGCACCAAACAGACTGATTGCAGCCCAAGGTAGGCCTGCCGCCCCGCGGTTGCCAAGTGCTAGAGAAGACGCCGTCGTGGTTCCGACGAGCGTTGTCAGAGCTGCAATCTCAATCAAGCCATTGCCCAGCCCAATCTGGGCAGCCGCGTTGCTGTCTTGCGCCATGAAGTTAGGGCTAATGCCTTGTGGTTCCTTGCCTATCTATCGGCGTTGCAGTGAGGATTGGTGCCTTCACAATGGGATGCGGGGTTTCCGCGAAGTCTACATCGTGAGCCTCAATATTGCAAATGCTACACCGCTGCAGGTGACCTGCGGCTGAAAACGCCTCCTACTGTGCATTGGCTCAGTGCCCGACGGTCCTCCTAAGCGAAGATCTAGAGCGACGCCACACCTTGTTAATCGGCCACAAGGTAACCCGGAAGAAGACCATCAGCTCGGTGAGATTGCAGCTCGATGACCTGCATCGCTCTCTAGTATAGGAACGTGGAGTACCAAATTGATGTCATTTCACGGCTTGCTTCAGAGAAGCTTTCGTCTTGAAAGTCCTCTTTGTACTTGATTCACCTGTCTGATCCTACTTCCTAGCTACAGCCGGGCCTTCCAATCCACCAAGTGCTACTTCGGAGAATTTATACAAATTAAGATTAATTCGAACCATAAGTCCCCACCAGATAGTACGATGCATCGTCCACAGACTTCCCCATCCAAAATCGTTGAGGAGGGGTTGAGGTTCCGACCCCGAGAGGACTCTCGAGTGCCGTTGCAGGGATCTCTAGGACCAACCTGGCAGCAGCTTCTCCTATCTTCAGAAGTTAGGCATTGGAGGGACACTTCAGGTGCGCCATTTTACAATGCGACCAAGAAACGAACAAACAGCATATCGGGGACTCGCGCACAAATCTCCGACACCCCTGATCGGACAAGTGTGCACCGGCTGGAAAGACCAGTACCTCAGCAAGGTGATGTCCCGGCTGATAGCACGGTATGTTGAACGGGTATTATGGTAGGCCATCACGAGGCAGACAAGCATTGGCTTGCATCGCGCTAGACTGTTAATTAACCGCCACCAACATCATTCTCTTCGTCCAAGAACCCCTCTCTGCCCCGTTTCTCCTCACAGCCGAGCCCAGCCGCTTGACCTTTTACTGCACAGTGGATTGCTCCACCGCCCATTCGAGCAATAATCCGCGATGAACTTGGAAATTCCAGGCGTGTGGAGGCTCCAGAAAGCACATTGATCTCCTGCACTTCATGTGGGCTCCGTCATGCCAAGGCGCCGAAGAAGCACCCGTTGACTTGACTCGCGTGCCTTAATGCTGCGTCACTCATCTGAAAATGAGAGAATCAAGACACTCTATAGGACATGCAAGTTTACGCAATTTGCCGAATTTACTCCCCGCGGGAGGTGTCGTGGAGGCGGTCGCACCGCACCATGGGGAAAGGAACGTCACAAGAGGGGGTTACATGCTGTGGGTACTATAGGTACGCACCAAGTTGCCGAGGAATAGCAGTTTGTCATATAAGACCTCAAACATTCCACTAGATCGCCTGGTGAGATTGCAGTTGTAGAGCGAATTGCTGTTCTGCTATTCTCTGAGCGCTTGTGTGCAGCCCGAATATCTAACATGGCCGACAATGCGTCATTCTCAATCGCTGCTGCTGCACAGCAGAAACAAGAAATCGAAGCTCTCGAAAATGTCGAGTCTCAGAGAGGGCTGGAATCGGCAAACCTCAATGTCCGATATATGGATCCAGAACACCGCGCCCGCGTCGAAAAGAGCCTCAAGCGCAAGCTCGATGCTCGCTGCGGCTTGTTCGTCCTGATTTATATCATGAACTACTTGGATCGAAATAACATCGCGGCCGCGCGGCTCAAGGGCCTTCAAGATGACCTCGCGCTCAATAACACACAGTATGCGACCTGTTTGAGTATTCTTTATGTAGGATACATTTTGATGCAGGTTCCGTCGAACATGTTCATCAACCGGATCTCTCGCCCGTCGCTGTACATCGCATGTGCAATGCTGCTGTGGGGTCTCATTTCGACATTGTCAGGCATCGCAAAGAACTTCGCTGGCATGGTTACAATTCGATTTTTCCTGGGCTTCGTCGAGGCGGCCTTCTTGCCTGGCGCGCTGATGATCTTGTCGAAGTGGTATACACGCCGCGAGCTTACTTTCCGCAATGCAATTCTCTTCTGCGGCAACCTCATCTCCAATGCTTTCTCGGCACTCATTGGAGCGGGCGTTTTGTCGAACATGCAGGGCACACTTGGCCACCCAGCGTGGCGCTGGCTCTTCTGGATCGAAGGTGCTATCACCATGGCCGTTGCCGTCTCTGCTGCCTTCATCCTGCCCGACCTGCCGCATAATTCAAGGGGCTTTACCGAGGAAGAGCTCCAAGTGGCCCAGCTGCGGATGGTCGAGGATGTCGGTGAGGCCGACGAGGACTCGGCCGACCAGGGTGTCTTCGACGGCCTTATCATGGCACTGAAGGACGTCAAAATCTACCTGATGATGCTCACATTCACCGCTTACGTTGTTGGCCTGTCTTTCAACGCGTTCTTCGTAAGTCTCAGCTCAGTTGCTAGAATGGGGAGAAGATTCATTAACAGTGATAAACAGCCTACATTGACCGGTACTCTTGGCTTCGAGTACGTCCCGACTCTACTTATGAGCTCTCCTCCATGGGTGTTCTCTTGCATCGTCTCGCTAATCAACGCCATGCACGCCGATCGAACTGGCGAAAAGTTCTGGCATATCGTTGGACCCATCTGTGTTGGAATTGTTGGGTTCGTCATCAGCATGTCAACTGAGAACGTGGCAGCGCGCTACATTGCGCTCTTCCTTCAAGCATCAGCATATGCCGGGTTCATCGTGTTTTACTCCTGGATATCCTCGTCTTTCCCACGCCCCCCTGCCAAGCGTGCTGTGGCCATCGCCATGATTAACGCCTTCAGTCAGCTTGGCAATGTGGCTGGCAGCTATGTTTGGGACCTGAAGGAGAACGGTTACCGCAAGAGCTACGGTATTGTCTTGTCCATGTTCGGGATCACAATTGTGGGGTGCTTCGCGTTCCGTTTGATTCTCATCAATCTGAACAAGAAGATCGAGGCGGGAGAGCGTGCCTGGGAGACGAGACCGGATGTTGCCGCTCATACGGCCGAGGTGGAACAAATCAATGCCGACGAGGCCCTCAAGATGCAGAAGGGCTTCCGCTACTTGGTGTAAGCAGATGCTGCTTTGTCGATGGGATCTATTGTGATAAGAGACAAGCAGTTAGTGTAGCAATGAGATCCACTATGCCAGGGGCAAACATTACAAGTTTGCTGAGTGTATTTTTGTGCGCCACTTTGTGCCATTGTGTTGGCCTTGTATTCACTATCCGCCTTTTGCACGCGAACTTGGAGCCTCGTCGCCGCCACGGCCGTTAAAATCGCAAATAGACCTGATTCATGCAGTCGAAATGAGAAACATCGTGTCTGCGACATTGTGATAGTAATCATCCGTATACAGATGTCGCTGCGACCAGACTAACGATAGCAAGGATGCAAGAAGTGCAGTTCTTAGTATAGATACCTAAACGAAGCCATAGACGTGGATTTACGACCAAGCTGGATCACACTGACCTCGGAGGGTTCATGTTTGGGCTTCGGTCTAGGACCAACCATTGAAAGTGTGTCGGCGTGTCCTGAAGACAAATCACGGAGCAAACGCCCACGCCATTCAAATCAAGTGATGGGCGCGTACTGTGCGACGTTGTATCGAATGCCGATTCTTCCACGGACGCCACGGCAATTCACTAGCGAGTGAGCATCACGAATTTCATGCCCTTGGAGCGTAAGATATCTAATGCGGCTACCGCTCAGGTGGCAGGCTGGCTCGGCTGGCAGCGCACTCTAGGGCGAAAAGAGTAGAGTGTTAAGGCTGTGCTTCGTCGCCCTAACATGCTTTCGGCGAGCCGGCGATCTAGCGAGCTTCAGGCTCGACAGCGACTGGCTGCTCGCTACGAGGGTGAATCTGGGGTAGCAACGGCTCGTGAAGCACTGGCTGTCCTCAGCGCCACCGGCGGGATGACGGCAGTGGCTTCAGGGCCTGCAGGTGCTATGCATGGAAGCTCTAGGGGCTTCTATGTGTGTTCCTCAAATCCCATATTGTGCAGTGCCGAATTGCTGGTTGGCATCATGGTAATCATCGAACCTCAGAGGAACTCACTCTGAAAAATGGCATCGCGCGGTGCAGATCTTCTTTTCCCCAAAATCGAAATGTATTCCAGCAGAGCACGACAAACGCAAAAGAAGCCTCTAAAGGGGAATTCTGCTCTGGTACTATGACGTTTGGCGCGGATAGGTGGTGGTTACGAGCAGGCCGGGCCGCTGACCTTGTCTTTGGGGTGGGATCGGCATTTCCTAATCTCGTATTGATGACTTTTGACAGCTCTCTGACATTCCAGCCTAACCACTCTGGCTTCTGACGATACCCCGATTAGTGTCTCTTTCAGGCAGAACGAGCACGAGCTGGCTGGATAGTCGCCGTGCTCAAAGATTGTATTTTTGGATTTGTCAAGAAGCCGCCAGTGCGGCGACAGAATCGCTGCGTAGCTCTTTCTGCATATAAACTCGATCATCTCTCGCCTCGCCTTGATCGTCCAGCATGAAGATCCATCATCACACAGCATAATCACTCTTCAGCATTCCAAGAGCCTCATTTTCAGCTCCACTGATCCTCGTACTTCACATTAATTACAACTCGCTCGCTTCATCTGCATCAGCATTTTTTGCTTCTAATCTTCTAATCAGCATTCACCATAATGTATACTCCTCTTATTGCTCTCAGCCTCGCAGTTCTGACTACTGCTGCTCCCTCGGGAAAGCGCCAAGTTCCACACTACCCGCCCACCTCCCAGTCTCAGGGCTTCAAGCTCATTGCCAACGTGACCGATCCGTCGGCCGATTTCACTCCTTCGATCAAGAACTGGGTCGTTGAGGGCGCGCACACTGGCGCAGGAACCAACGTAGCTGTTCTGAAGCCCTTCGACGCCACCACAAGCCCCGGCCGTACCTTCTACCTCAACGGCACAGCTGAAGACGTCCGCTACGGTAACACCAACGTTCTCACCGATGGCGGCACTCCTCCTGCTCCATACGGCATCTATGTCCAGAACCAGACCGAGTTCGAGTATCTGTACCCAGATGAGCACGGTGTAGGAATCAGTGTCGGCGAGGGCTCCGGAACCAGCCTGACACGATTCCCCAATCCGTACCCGTATCTAACGTCCGCCACGGGCACTGGCACTTTTGTCGCCTGCAATAACACCGTAGCGTACTACGGCACCAAGTTCATTACCCTCGAATATGCCTATGCCACCTTCACTGCCCCAGACGGCAGTTATGAGTACAACGCCAACATTCCGGAGGGCTGCGCAGCCGTCAACCTGATTCCTCAATGCACTGAGCTCAACGAGCTCCCCGAGGATGCCTATAGTAGCCACGAGTTTGCGGCCCAGACTGCCTGCTACCCCGACGTTGCTGCTATCGACTGGACCCAGTACGGACCTTAAGACACTTCAAACACTTTTACGTGGCAAATGATGCAACAGCAGTACATGAGCCATGTAGTATCTGGTTAATAATTTGAATGGAAGTGAGGACAATCGAGAGCGTGACGGTTCGTTGCATTGTTTGGCGCATCGGCTTTAACGGAGCATGAGCATCGTGACGGGATAAAACCTCGGCGTTTGTGTACTAGGCGCAGTATTTACTCTTAAACCTTACATTAATATAATCACTTGTCAGATGTCTCTCCTTTAGGAAGTAGAAACCGGAAGATTGTGTTGCCGACGAATGTGGCGACGGCCTGAACCTTGATAAATACGATTGTTGATTTTGATAGCGCGTGGTGAACCGTTTTGCATATTGGTCAGCGAGCGGAGCAGGAGCTCACCAACTCTTCCGCCTCCAGCGGCCTTGAGGTGATTATGCTTTAGTGGCAAGCCAACATGGCGCCGACCAATAGCGAATAGGCTCACAATCATCTTCGCCAGGAGACACAAGAAGCCTCTATCAAATCGAGTACATCACGACGTGGTTCTCGGGATACCATCGGCGATAACAAATTCCAAGGCGCCGCACTTGGAAGCTGATGAGCAATTATCGTGCAATGGGCTTACAAAGGAACTTTGTGTTTGATCCAGGTTTGTTATTCGAATTTCGAGGTATGAGGTAAGCTCATGATGGTGTAAGTCTGAATATCGGCGATATGCCGTCGGGTTAGGGGCAGTGGTCAGCTAGTTCACCCGAACGAGAGATATAAAGTGACACGTAGGAGCTTGCAAGAGTCGCAATACCCTCCAAAAGTTTCAAATCTTTCCTAACAGCCAGGTTATCATCATTTTCACATCAACCTCGCAACTGCCACCATGGCGTCAAAAAGCCACAATGACTACGGTCTTCCGGAGGCCTACAAAGCTCTCCTATTTACTTCCAACACTTCACCCCCTACTATCACCGCCCTCCCTACTCCTTTGCCAACCGCTGGCACTGCTATTGTCAAACCACTTTTCTCGTTTATTCCGCATTATATTCGGGACATTTTCACCAATGGAAACCCACGAGGGTACCGGTATGCTTTGCCCATTGTACCGGGTTCATCCTTCATTGGTCGCATTGTGGCTGCTGCCTCAGATGCTCCTACTTTAAAGCCGGGCCAATTGGCATGGATTGACCCTGTGGTGAGGGGTCGCGATAGATCTGGGCAAATTCTCCATGGGCTTCATGGCGGACAGACTGATCAAAGCTGGGCTCTGATGGCAGGAGAATGGAGAAACGGAAGCTGGGGAGAGCTAGCCAAGGTTCCCGCTGAAAATGTGCATGTCTTGGATGAGAAGGTTCTCCTGAGTTCCAAGGCGGATGGTGGGATGGGGTATACGCTTGAAGACTTGGGTTATCTCTCTCCTCTGGCGGTCGCGTACGGAGGCCTTCGAGATGTAGACCTACTTCCTGGAGAGACGATCTTGATCGCACCTGCGACTGGGTCCTTTGGCGGCTCCGCAGTTCACGTCGCCCTTGCAATGGGAGCGCGCGTCATTGCTATGGGACGGAACGACGCTGTACTGGCTGATCTTAAGGCGCTGAACCCGAGTCGAGTTACTGTTGTCAAAATGTCAGAGGATGTTGACAATGACAAAAACAACATCGTATCTGCGGCACATGGCAAGCCGGTAGATGTCTACTTCGACATGAGTCCTCCTTCCGCGTCTCAGTCAGCACACATCAAAGCGGGAATACTAGCCCTTCGGCCAAAGGGGCGTATGAGTCTAATGGGAGGCGCTGCTGGAGATGTGGTCTTTCCATATTATCAGATTATGGCGAAGGGACTGCGACTGCAAGGCACATTCATGTATACGCCTGAGCAGGTAGTTGGACTTATCAAACTTCTTGAAAGCGGCGTGCTATGCATTGGCAATGAGAGGAATGTCAAGTGTGAAGGAGTCTTCGGTTTGGAGCAATGGTCGGAAGCCTTTGAGGCGGCTTGGGAAAAGGGCAATCGTATGGGCAGATTTGTTCTACTTGCGCCTACCAAGGCTTGAGAAGTCTTTTGAGTCCCGAAAAATTTTGAGTCTATCATAAAAGGCATGATCATATTATTTGCGAGTAATACTTCTACATAAATAGGCCTTACAAGTTCATCCGCAATCTTAAATGCTGCCACCTCCCTAGCCCTGCTGGCCGTCAAGTTGATGAGTTATCAAGAACTTAGAGCAAGGCCATGCTAAATTATTCTGAGAGCATGTCTCATTAATCCTTCTGCTCAGAGATAGGCACTGTCTTTTCGTCATCGGCACGCAAACCAGAAGCCGTCTCCTCATCAACAACACCATCATGGGGTCCTTGCAAGCCAAGCTCGGTAGTCGTGAATGCGTCAGCAGTGTCTCTGTACCACGGCCAGAAGTTCACCGCTAGGGCATATGTCCAAGCCGCTACGAAAAAGCATAGTGGGACGACCATCGCAAGACCTGTTCCGTGAGCATCAGCGGCAACACCAGTGAGTGGCGGCACGCAAGCGCCTCCCAGAACACCGCCAACAATAAAACCCGAGCCACGCTTAGTATGTCGACCGAGACCACGCATGCCCAAAGCAACAATTGTTGGGAAGCAAATGGACTCAAAGAACAGAGTCACATAGAGCATAGACATTCCAGTATTTCCCCTTTGCGTGATTGCTGGCGCAATAAAGACAATGCACATGGTCAAGAAGACACCAAACACCCAACGTGGCCTCACGAAATGCATTATGCCAACGCCAACAAATCGTCCGAGGGCGAAAGATCCTTGAGCACCAGCAAGAAATTGCGAGGCAGTCGAGTCCGGTGTGCCTTTTCGAGTGTCATGTACATAATTGATGAAGTATCTATATATCAGTGATTAGTCATTTCAAAGTCAAATAGGCATTTTGATCACATACCCGGCAATTGCAACTTGGGCACCCGTATAGCAGAATTGAGCAAAAGCTGCGTGGAAGAGGCGATACTGCTTTCTGAAAGGCTGGCTGCTTTCGCCTGCATGTGTCTCCTCTGCTTGAAAAGCCATATCGGCATCTGTAATCTCGGGGATTGAGGACATGAAGAACACAATTGCTAGGAGAAAAACGAAACACGCGATTGCAAGATAGACCCATTGCACATTCTGTAACGCCCGTTTGTCATCGAACTTAAAGAAGACATATGAGCCTAGAACCGGTGCGACGACCGTTCCGATGCCGTTGAATGCCTGGGAGATGTTGATACGGATCTCGGAGAATTTCGGAGGCCCACAGACAGTAATGTACGGATTGGCTGCCGTCTCTAGCGATCCGAGGCCGTTGCCAATTATAAAGATGCAGATGCAGAAGCCGGCGAATGAATGGTGCAGGATGGCGGGGATAGCGAGGAGGGCACCAATACCATAAAGCAGTAATCCCCAGATAAAGACAGCGCGGTAGCTATAATGACGCAGAATCCAGGCGGCATGGCCAAGAGACGCGAGCGGGTAAGCACTGAGAAAGTGTCAGCCATTTGATTCGTTTACTAACCGTAGTCCATCCACTCACCCAAAGTAGGCAGCTTGAAGACCGGAAGACCTAGCCTTATTAATTCCTAAGGTGTTTTGGAAGTGTTTGTTCAACGTATCGAGAAGGCCGTAACTGAATCCCCAAAGGAAGAAAAGTATTGTAACAAGGCAAATTGGATAGAGCGACTCTCTCAAGGTCAACTCGGCGGCTTTGGTCCGTTTCCCATCAGGGGTTCGTAAGGACCTTCTTTTCCAGAATTCTTTGCTAAGCACCATCTTACTTCGTGTGAAGGAAGTGCCGAATATCGAGAAGAGTCAGCTGGTAAGCCTCTTGAGTAGGCTCCTGAGATTTAAACAATTCGGAGGCCGTGATAATGATAGATATGAGCAGAGAACAGAAGCCAGCCGGTCACGGAATTGTGAGGTAATAGCCGTTATAAGTACCGAGCTCGAGGACACACATCGTCCTCGTGATGGGTGCCAATGCTTCGGTCCTTTTCGCACCCAAATCATGCTGGCTTGTCATGTATCTCCAGCCACTCGTGTTCAAGATCCGACGGGTGTGGGGGAGGAGACGGTCAAATGGGGTAACGAATGACGAGAGGTAGGGGAATTAATGACCTCAGTTAAGATGCGGGGAAGCAAACTGAATCAGCTCAAGCACCCCAATCGATCTCAATGGCCCCGGAGATGTCTCCTTGTCCAAGCCAAACTGTGGAGACAAACAAGGTATTGCAAACAGTGAAACAACGGGTGCGTTAATCATGTTCCCCGAACAAGAAGGTCACCCTTGTTTGTGTTCTAGCGTTGACGGTAAAGATTGACGCAATCAACACCCACGATTGGCGGACTGCCCATCACCCATGAGTTCTGCCATGTCGGGATTTTCGCAGATTATTGACCCGAGGACACTTTTGAGAGCTAATGAATATTAAGGGGATGCGTGGCTTGCTCTTCACAGCCAGTTGCTCGCTCACTTTTAATCGAACATCCGTCGGCTGATTTCGTTAAGATGCTTCCACGTTTTTCTTATATCGGGATTTACCCCAGATTCTACTATAACAGCCACAGTACGCTAGGCATTGCTTGGGGCCATATTCGAAATGGCAGCCGGTACAGGATCAGTGGGATCAACGACATCCCTGCCAGTAAATCCCGACAGACCCCTCATTCTGCCCCGCTTGGAACATACCTCATCCTTCTTGGCGTCCTAGGCGTCCTAAACCAACTCTTACAACAAAAACTTACTCTTCTACTAGGTAATATATGTTAGTTTGCCAAGGACATCACTACCCCTTTGATAAGGCATTAGTATCTTTATTAAAGTTGATGAACCCATAGTCATAAACAGAACATTCAAGAGCTTGATGAGTATCACGACTCTCAGCATGGGGTGTCTTCACCCTTTAAGAACTCACGTTTATTACCTTGACAGAGGGGTAGATCGGATCTTACCGGGGCTCAACTCCAGCTACAGAAATGGTGGCAGGGGCTCAAAGAGAATTAACAGCTTGGAAAGCGAAATTTTCAAACTCATCCTAATAAAGCTTCCACATGGGAGGCCTTAATCAATGTCACTACTTTTCTCTTAGTGATCTGCTTCCTCGACAATGTGTGACGAATCAAACCACTTCTATATCGATCTATATTGCGGAGTCTCTTGCACTTTGCCGATTGCATTAGTAAAAGTGGCCATAGGCAAGCTACCCGTGTAATTGCTCGAGCTTAAGACCGATTTCAATAGAAAGAAGCGAGAATAGTGGAACAATTCATCGTAACACTGGCAAATGGTTTCTCATTGGATGGGCGTTTAAGACTTAAATATGAAACCCCCGATTAGATTATTTGGACTATTTTCGTGCGATTATAAACCGTGGCATGTCACCAAATCTGATGTGTGGTCGGAACTAGCATCATTCCGACTCAATCCCCTTTCCCCCTTTCGTGGTAGAATGATCCCCATTGATATCACTTGTCACCGCAAGCAAAATTCAACTTGATATGACAACATAAGGGTAATAATGCGGACAAAGGCAGTCATTCGAATACATGACATAAGGCTACCGGTTCATCTTCACAGCATTGAAGCCACTCTTGTCTGGTCAGAGCACGGCCATGAAGTAAAATCGTATGGATATTGATTAGAGGCCTCGGCTATCGGCATTGTCTGGGCGGTAATGTTATAAATGGTGTTTTTCTTTTTGAAGTGTGCTAACTTGGCTCCTTACGCAGCTTCAAAATTATCGAGCGTCTCTGGTAGTGTGACAATAGAGTAATTGAAAGCGGGCGCTGGAAGATATTATCATCTAACATTGAGGACCAAAAGCTATCCCGATCTTTTGATGGTTTCTTTTTAATAAATTTTTGTTTTTCTTTTTTCTTTTTCAAACTTTGGTTGAGAGACTCAACCAAAGGTTCCGGCAATGTAGCACATTTTGTGCGTTTATCTCCGGAATATAAGTACAATTTTTTAACTGGTGATCTCTTTGAAACGCAACAATTCAGACTTCTACGCCTCGTAGATGCGCTAGTTAATGACATGAATAAGCTAGTAGCTGCGAATGTCAGCAATCGATAGTGCTATTTAGTCTGGAAATGGGCCGTCTTTATCTCCGTACCATCACGGAGTCCGGACATCAGAAGGCCCATATGCCAGAATCGGCCTCTCGGTATATTAGCCTTAAGTCCACCGAAGTCTTCAAAATTGATGAGGTGAAGGTAGAAGGATCGTATCATTTGAATATTTCATTACGGATTCATTTTGGATATTTAGAGGGGACTTGACGCTTTCCATATTCATCAATTTTCCTTTTCTCGGTGAATTGATCACATCATCTCACAAATCCTCAAACCCAACCCCATACCAACAAGATGCAACTAACGAACCACGCGCTCATTGGCGCTGCCGACAAGATCCCCACGAGTGATGCAACTCCAGTGCTTTCTTTCAGCCCTGTTGTGCTTCCTTGCCCAGACCGTAGGGTGGACTTACAGATACGCGTCTCGATGCCTTCCACCGGCAATGCTCTACCGATAATCCTCCTCTCTCACGGCCACGGCATAAGTAACTACCTTTCGTCGCTTGAAGGTTATACTCCGTTAGCAGACTTTTGGGCTGGACACGGCTTCGTTGTCATTCAACCAACGCACCTCAGTTCTAAATCGCTAGGCTTTCAGCCAGACGCAGGAAATGTAAGGGAATTGTTCATGGAGTCGCGCGCTCAGGATATGATGCGAATCCTTGACAGTCTAGACTTTATTGAAGAGGCTGTGCCTCTACTCAAAGGACGGCTAGATAAAAATAAAGTAGCTGTTGCAGGTCACTCCCTCGGCGGGTACACTGCCATACTCCTGCTTGGTGCTACGAACATCGACCCTCAAGATGGGACAAAGACCGATCTGGTCGATAAACGTATCAAAACTGGCGTGGCATTCAGTGCTCCTGGGTACGGTGGACCCGATCTTTCAGAAAATGGAGCAAAGCTCCTTCCATTCTATGGACCAGACTTCAGCGAAATGCACACCCCGACTCTGGTCGTCTGGGGAGAGGAGGATGTAAGTCCGCACCTATCGGTACGCGGGGCGGACTGGCACGCAGACCCCTTTAATTTCTCTCCAGGAGCCAAGGACTCATTTATGGTCAAAGGTGGCAAACATGGTTTCGGGGGTATCAGTGGGTGGGACGCAGGCGAAACTTTGGATGAGAGTCCCGAGCGATTAGCTGCCGTACAAAGAATAACATGGGCATACATCAGGAGCCAACTGTACCCGGAGGACAAAGCCTGGGCAAAGGCTTGCAAAGCTCTAGAGGCGTTTCCCGAGCTTGGCAAGATTGAAAGCAAATAGGAGAACTGGCAAAATTGCTGAAATTTTAGCTTGTTATTGCAAATGCACACTAACGAAATGCCAACAAAAGAAATTATCAATACTGTATTTTCCTTCTAGTCCTTGAGACTGAATGTGACATTCTAGGTTCGGAAAAAGCAACGTTTCACCAAAAATTATTGATTTGAGTTGGTATAGAGCCTCTGAATCTGCCATCATCTCATGCCAGTGTCTACAAAGAAGAATTTACTACTGGTAGTATGCTGATCTTATATTATTACAATATTATTTATAGATTGATATCATGGTAGAATCTGCTGTCTACAAAATGCGAGAGTGGAATGGTATGTGGGAGGAGAGAAGATGATTATATTATACATCGGACTTGGATTGCCTGAAAGGGCCACTTTCATGATTTTGCAATACCACACCCTTCCTAAGAAGCGGCTTAAGTATTATCTGGTCAATGTCAGCTTCATTCTTCATGTAGCTCTGTCTTTTGCAGCTGATAACCGGCCAGGCCACTTGGGAGCCATCGCCCAAAGCAAGGTAACGCCGAATGCTGCGGTGCCGAGAGCCCACCCACCGTGCAGGCCATCCAAGTATGCTAATTGCACACCTTTGAGCACCTCTCCATTATAGTTGTCTTTGATTCCAGCCGCACCAACACCAAGAACATCATGTGGATTGATACCAGGCACATAATGAGGCAGCTTCCGCAAGAGTAAGTTGTTCAGAATAGCGTCTGACACTGCAACACCCCAACCTCCAGCAAGTAGCATGAAGACTAGAGAACAAGGAGACAAGTAAGTCTTAAGCAGTACACCAAAACGAGTGTGCTTCATTAGCGTGGGTCGAACTACTCACACGAAACAGTAGAGACTGCGATGGAAACATCTTCTGCAGAACTCGTTACGGTCGCCACCAAGTTAGGTGTTTGCACTCCAAGGCCACAGCCCAAACCATACAAAATTTGATATCCAATAATAGGGCCGAGGCCCACGTTGATGTCAAACGTGTAGATGAGCCCAACACCTACAGTAGAGAGTATTCCAGCACCAAGCAGAAAAGGCTGGAAAAGTTGCAGCTTCCCAATGCAGATCGAAGCAATCATTGTGGCTAGAGCTGCAGACAGGAGTTAGTTTGGACATCCAAGAAGATTTGTGAGCTGCAATATAAGGGTTGGAGACATGAAATATTACTTACCAGTTGAGAGAATTGATGGTATCATTTTGATACCACTTTGCACAGGCGTATCCCCTTGAATCGCCTGGAAGTAGATAGGCAAATTGTACTGTAAAGCAATATTTCCCGCATTGAGACTAGACTATTATCATGTCAATTGATTTTGTGGACAAAGTTGGATAGATGGTGATGGCTACTTACAAGAAGATGAACCCGGAGCATGCTCTAATCGATCTAAGACGCTGTATGCGGAAAACGATGAGCGCTCGGTCACCTTGGTACCATTCGTTGACGGCGAAAAGAGATAGTAGAGCCACGCAACCAACCAAGAGCCCGATTTCGTCGTCCGATTCCCAGGGTTTCGCCACACCTCCCCATTGTATAGCCAGAAAGAAACAGAGGACACCGGAGAACATTAGCATAGATCCTATTGGGTCAAAGCTTGCCATAATCTCTCGAATAGGTGTTTTCTGTCCCGCCTTGGCATGACCAGGGGTTCTAAA